GGGATCCAGATGACTGTAAAACTCATTGTTGGTTCACGTTCTCCCTCCAGATTCATCCTTTGTTGGTCCATATTTTTTCCTGAGAAATTTCCTCCCCCATGAGTTTAATAGGTTTTCTGCGGTTTTTGTTACGGTCCAAGTTTCACTTGCATATGTCACAGTTTTATAAATAGATTTATTTGTTTCTCTTGTAATACTTTTACTTTCGACTATTGTCTGAAGTATGCCCTGTTTCCGGCTGATATTCTTTCTTTTATTTCTCTTAGTAATTCGTTTCTTTCATTAATATATATATATCTCTCTCTCTCTCTCTCTCTCTCTCTCTCTATATATATATATATATATATATATATATATATATATATATATATAAATAATTATTTTTTTTTAAATTTATGTATTAAAAAATTCCTTCCCTGATCAAAAAGTCAAATAGAAACATTGTATTCAACTCTACTCCAAAATGCACCAGTTGCTCGTGGAATCATAAAAAAAATTCCGGGGAGAAGACTCACTGAAAGTTTTTTAAGTGCAGCTATCACTGAGAGTTTTCTCAAGTGTAGCCATTAATGACAACTTTCTCAAGTGTAGCCATCACCGATTGTATAATTCTGTTTTTTCTTTTGTTTGTTCGCTGACGAAGGCTTCCTGCCGACACGTTGGTTGTTTTTTTTTTGCGTTCATTTTTAAAAAAAAGTTTTCCCCATACTTTGTTTTATTCATTTCTTTGTTTTAAATACTACTAATGGTTTCTTAGCCCTCATCTTCTAGCTAAGTATAGTTTTCATTGACTACACTATTCTGTCCCTGGCGTACAGCTGCATAGATGGCTCAGCTCCGGAATATCTTAAAGAACTGATTTCTAAACACGTATCCTTAAAGAACCTGCGGTCTCCAACACAGTCCTTACTGAAAATTCCCAGTGTGGATAGACACAGAAAAAAGTCATTCGGAGTGCGCTCTTTTGAAGCGATAGCGCCAAAATTATGGACCAGTTAGCCCCAATCTTTGAGGAAAATTGAAAATGATAAAAAAATCATTTAAGAAACATTTAAAGACTTTTGTTATTTAAATAGACTTAAGAACATCATAGCGATGTGAGCGTGCTAAAGTAGCATGGATACAAGCGCTATATAAATTTTTCTATTCAATTCAAAATTCATTTCAATTTTCGTTTAGGGTCCCGAGTACTTCTAGCTAAGCATTATGTTCATTATTGTTTAAGGCTCCTAATACTTCCGTTTGAAATGAGGATCCAATATCTCCTCTCTCTCCCCCTGTCGTGTAGGATTGTGAAGAAAAAAATTATTGTTTATCATTGACTCCAATTTAATGTGAAAATATTCAAACATGTCATTAAAATTGTAATTAAAAATTTCATTAAAAATATCATTAAAATTGTCATAAAAATTGTCATTAAAAATGTCATTATAATGTAATTAAAATTGTCATTAAAATGTCATTAAAATGTCATCATAAATGTCATTAAAATACCATTAAAATTGTCATTAAAATGTCATTAAAAATGTCATTAAAAATATCATTAAAATGTCATTAAAAATGTCATTAAAATTGTCATTAAAATGTCAAGAAAACTGTCATTAAAATTGTCATTAAAATTGTAATTAAAAATGTCATCAAAAATGTCATTAAAAATTTCATTAAAATTGTCATTAAAATGTCATTAAAATTGTCATTAAAAATATAATTAAAATTGTCATTCAAGATATCATTAAAATGTCATTAAAATTGTAATAAAAAATTTCATTAAAAATGTCATTAAAATGTCATTAAAATTGTCATTAAAATATCATTAAAATTGTCATTGAAATTGTCATTAAAATGTCATCAAAATGTCATTAAAAATGTCATTAAAATTGTCATTAAAATGTCATAAAAATTGTCATTAAAATTAACATTAAAAATGTCATTAAAATATCATTAAAACTGTCATTAAAATTGTCATTAAAATTGTCATAAAAATGTCATAAAATTGTCATTAAAAATGTCATTAAAATTGTCATTAAAATTGTCATTAAAAATTTCATTAAAATTGTCATTAAAATGTCATAATAAATCGTCATTAAAATTGTCATTAAAATGTCATTAAAATTGTCATTAAAATGTCATTAAAATTGTCATTAAAATTGTCATTAAAATGTCATTAAAATGTCATTAAAATGTCATTAAAATGTCATTAAAATGTCATTAAAATGTCATTGAAATTGTCATTAAAATATCATTAAAATTGTCATTAAAATATCATTAAAATGTAATAAAAGTAATCATTTAAATTGTCATTTAAATTGTCATTAAAATTGTCATTAAAAATGTCATTAAAATGTCATTAAAATTGTCATTAAAATGTCATTAAAATTTCATTAAAATGTCATTAAAAATGTCATTAAAATGTAATTAATAATATATCATTAAAATTGTCGTTAAAATTGTCATTAAAATATCATTAAAATGTCATTAAAAATATCATAAAAGTTGTCATTAAAATTGTCATTAAAAATGTAATTAAAATTTCATTGAAATTGTCATTAAAATGTCATCAAAATGTCATTAAAAATGTCATTAATTTTGTCATTAAAATGTCATAAAAATTGTCATTAAAATTATCATTAAAAATGTCATTAAAAATATCATTAAAATTGTCATTAAATTGTCATTAAAAATGTCATTCAAAATGTCATTAGAAATGTCATAAATATGTCATTTAAAATGTCATTAAAATTGTCATTAAAATGTCATTAAAATTGTCATTGAAATAGTCATTAAAATATCATTAAAATTGTCATTAAAATATCATTAAAATGTAATAAAAATAATCATTTAAATTGTCATTAAAATTGTCATTAAAAATGTCATTAAAATTTCATCAAAAATGTCATTAAAATGTCATTAAAATGTCATTAAAAATGTCATTAAAATTGTCATTAAAATGTCATTAAAATTGTCATTAAAAATATCATTAAAATTGTCATTAAAATGTCATTAAATTGTCATTAAAAATGTCATTCAAAATGTCATTAAAATGTCATTAAAATGTCATTAAAAATGTCATTAAAAATGTAATTAAAATGTCATTAAAAGGTCAATAAAATTGTCATTAAAATGTCATTAAAATTGTCATTAAAATGTCATTTAAAATATTTAATTTAAATTAAAAAGTGTATCTCTGATGATATTCTCCAGCACATCCATTGAGAGTTTCAACGCCCCCCCCCCTCCTAACCGTCAAAAATCTGTGACACCTTTCAGTGCCCACCAGGGCCACCCAACCGTCACCAGGGCCAATCAACCGTCACCAGGGGCGTCATTTCAGGGGCTTTTAAGGAGGGGGCAAGACCAAAACTTGGTCGGATTGTTGAGTTGTTGATTACTGGGGGAAATACACAGTACGTAGGAATTTGAATAAAACCTGCGAAATCAGGTAGGTCACACGATATTGAAACAACCAGCTCTTTATTGTGAAACATATGAGTATATATATATATAAAGGGGTCGTCCATTAATTACGTCCACAATTTCTACGCAATTTTTTGCCCCCCCCCCCTTGTCAACAAACGTCCATCTTTCGATGAACCCCCCTATTTAATTATGTCAACATTTTATAACAATTGAAACAACCAGCTCTTTATTGTTAAACATATGAGTATATATATTTATAAAGGGGTCGTCCATTAATTACGTCCACAATTTCTACGCAATTTTTTGCCCCCCCCCCCTTGTCAACAAACGTCCATCTTTCGATGAACCCCCCTATTTAATTATGTCAACATTTTATAACCCCCACCCCTCACCTAAAAAAATTAAATATAATGTAAATAAATTTTTAAATACATTTTACATTGAGCTGATCAATTTAAATGACATACAGTTGTAGGGAAAACATTTTATTACATGTTTAGATTGGTAAATCAACTAGTTAAAAAGTTTTTACACTTAAATTTTATAATGTAGAAGCAATTAAAAGCTTATTAAGGACTGAATGTCATCGTTGTGGAAGTATAAATATGATTATTGTCCGTATAGCTGACAAATGTAACATAGTTTATAGCTGCTATTATCTTCCCATGGAGTAGCCAGGTGTTGCTGTATCATAACAGTGGGCTTCAGGGACATCATTTGGGTAGGGCAGGGGTCATTCCCCCTTCCCTAATTTTGCTGGTTTTATTTAAATTGCTATGTACGGTGGCGCCTCCAGTAATAAACAACTTAATAAGCCGACTAAGTTTTGGTGTTGCCCCCCCCCCTCCCTTGCCTCGAAAAAAGCATGAAATGGCGCCCCTGATGTGCCTAGTCTATATTAGCTGATTTGTCATTTTCATCTTGCGGAACTGATGTAACAGACAACTCAACATCTTGCTCCCCTAACATTTCAGCAGTTAAAATAGAAGTATTGTCGGTGTCAGCAATAATTGTCATAAGCTCTCTCTCTCTCTCTCTCTCTCTCTCTCTCTCTCTATCATTGAGTTGGTATAATTGTTATTGAACACCCATGAGTTTGTTTTTTTTTTTTTTAATTGAACACCGTATACAGTGATGTGTTACTCATTCTAGGGAGCGGATTAAGAGAAAAATGACAGGTGAAGAGATGCCAACTTTTGACTTCTCTGGCACTAACAAAGTGTGCTAACATTCTGACCAGCCATCTGCCGTGCATAGACAGACATTAAATTAAATAAATCTTATATTGTTAAAAGCCTAAACGCTTATGACTATTTACACTCATTATATTGTTTAAAATAATATAAGAACCAGTCAATTTTTAAGAATACTATTGTAATAGAAAAAATATGATTGTTGACGTCAACTAATCTAACCCCCCCCCCTCCTTTTTTACCCTCCCTTGTCAACAACTGTCAAACATTTCCACCATCCTCCTATTTTGTTGAAGAAATTAATGGACGCCCCCTATGTCTAGAAGCACTTTCATCAGTAGACGCCTCTGACTTGTGCTTTGAGTACAGGTGAACCAGTCATTAATCCATACTGACCTGCGATCTATTGTCTTATCAGTTGTTTCAAGTTAAGGATTTTCACTGAAGGAAGGATAGGCGCGTGGTCAGTAGGAGCTGGACTGATTTCAACAATGACGTGGTCGCTGTGTTCTGTGCTGTTGGCACTGCTCCCTCTCACATACGGTAATGTGTGTTCTGTGTTGTTAGAACTGCTCCCTCTCACATACGATAATCTGTTGTTGACACTGCTCCCTTTCACATACAGTAATATGTGTTGTTGACACTGCTCCCTCTAACATATGGTAATTTGTGTTATTGGCACTGCTCCCTCTTACGTACGATAATATGTGTTGTTGACACTGCTCCTCTAACATATGGTAATATGTGTTGTTGGCACTGCTCCGTCTCACATACAGTAATAAGTGTTGTTTGCAATGCTCCCTCTCACATACAGTAATATGTGTTGTTGACACTGCTCCCTCTAACATATGGTAATCTGTGTTGTTGGCACTGCTCTGTCTCACATACAGTAATATGTGTTGTTGGCACTGCTCCCTCTCACATACAGAAATATATCTTGTTGGCACTGCTCCCTCTCACATACAGTAATATGTGTTGTTGGCACTGCTCCGTCTCACATACAGTAATATGTGTTGTTGGCACTGCTCCCTCTTACATACAGTAATATGTGTTGTTGGCACTGCTCCCTCTCACATACAGTAATATTTGTTGTTGGCACGGCTCTTTTCTCTTTTTTCTTTTATTTGAGGGGCCCACGATCAATTTGTTGATCATTCTGGCTCCTGGTTTAAATTCAGAGTTTGCCTTCTCTTAGATGGGTTGCCGTCCAAGGCTAACGAGTCCCATCCACCCGGCTCCCTCTCACATACAGTAATATGTGTTGCTGGCACTGTTTCCTCTCACAAACAGTTTTTTTGTTGATGTGTTTGCATTTTAACATTGAAATTACTGTAAGGGTAATCAACCATTTAATCAATTCGCTGACAGTTGGCAGTGACAAATAACGCTTGAATTAAGGACTCTGACCATGTTCTTTTGTAACAAAAATGGGGGATTATTTTATGTCAAATATTTACGTGAAATAGAACAGCAAATTTATTTTTATGCGACATGGAAATAAAATTTTGGTATCTTTCAGATTGATATATATATATATATATATATATATATATATATTTATCACATCAAACGCATCCATATTTTTATATGACTGAAATATTTCCGGATTGTTGTTTTTCAAAGGATTCCTTTTCCGCCATAAAACATGAACACCATTATTACTTCCACCAAAAATAATTACTTTACCCTGGGTCTCTTCCTGGTACTTTTTTCCAGTTTATTTCTTGTAGTCTTCCTTTCGTTTTACTTCTTGAAGTTCAAATTTGAGCTGTCGCTTACTCAGAGTGATTCGTTACCTCAGATTCAGGATACTTTCTTGTCTCATAAAAATGAGCCTTATCTAGGTAAGATTTCGCTCTCAAGCAATAATGTGTGTGTTTGTGGGGAAAAGTGCGGCACTTCGGGTTCGGTCTTATGCCTCCACCGGCGATATTTGATATAAACTAGTCGTTTGGTTGTGGTTCAATGGACTGATTTCTTTGCAGACCTGTTTACCGCCCGGGTTGGTGTCAGAGTAGTTCTCATTTCATTTGTATTCGATTGTTTACGGTGTTGACACAAAAAAATGCGGTGTCGTTTTACTGAAAACATCCCAATTATTGAGTCTTTCTTGAAGAATTAATCAAACGTACGAAAAAACTCCCGAGACTTAAGTTTTTTTTGCAGCCTTGTCGTAGTGACGTAGTCTTAGGCTTGTCGAAGTGACGTAGTCTTAGGTTTGTCGAAGTGACGTAGTCTTAGGCTTGTCGCAGTGACGTAGTCTTAAACTTGTCGTAGTGACGTAATCTTAGACTTGTCGCAGTGACGTAGTCTTAGGCTTGTCGTACTGACGCAGTCTTAGGCTTGTCGTAGTGACGCAGCCTTAGGCTTGTCGTAGTGACGTATTCTTAGGCTTGTCGTAGTGACGTAGTCTTAGGTTTGTCGTAGTGACATGGTCTTAGGCTTGTCGTAGTGTCGTAGTCTTAGGCTTGTCGTAGTGGCGTAGTCTTAGGCTTGTCGTGGTGACGTAGTCTTAGGCTTATCGTAGTGACGTAGTCTTAGGCTTGTCGTAGTGACGTAGTCTAGGCTTGTCGTGGTGACGTAGTCTTGGGTTCGTCGTAGTGACGTAGTCTTAGGCTTGTCGTAGTGACGTATTCTTAGGCTCGTCGTAGTGACGAAGTCTTAGGTTTGTCGTAGTGACGTAGTCTTAGGCTCGTCGTAGTGACGTAGTCTTAGGCTTGTCGTATTGACATATTCTTAGGCTTGTCGTAGTGACGTAGTCTTAGGGCTTGTCGTAGTGACGTAGTCTTAGGCTCGTCGTAGTGACGTAGTCTTAGGCTTGTCGTAGTGACATATTCTTAGGCTTGTCGTAGTGACGTAGTCTTAGGGCTTGTCGTAGTGACGTATTCTTAGGCTTGTCGTAGTGACGTAGTCTTAGGCTCGTCGTAGTGACGTAGTCTTAGGCTTAAAACGTAGTGACAGCGTAGAGGTAAACAGGTTTGGAGGGAAGACCACTAATTTTAGATGGTGACACTTGTAATAGTTGCCAACACATGAAGACACGCCCCCACTCCTGCTGTGAGTTACGATTCTATATTAATGTATCTTGAGTTGTGCTGTGTGTGACTATATTGTTCTATTAATGTATCTTGAGTTGTGCTGTGTGTGACTATATTGTTCTATTAATGTATCTTGAGTTGTGTTGTGTGTGACTGTATTGTTCTATTAATGTATCTTGTGTTGTGCTGTGTGTGACTGTATTGTTCTATTAACGTATCTTGTGTTGTGCTGTGTGTGACTGTATTGTTCTATTAATGTATATTGTGTTGTGTTGTGTGAGACTGTATTGTTCTATTAATGTATCTTGTGTTGTGTTGTGTGAGACTGTATTGTTCTATTAATGTATCTTGTGTTGTGCTGTGTGAGACTGTATTGTTCTATTAATGTATCTTGTGTTGTGCTGTGTGTGACTGTATTCTTCTATTAATGTATCTAAAGTTGTGCTGTGTGTGACTGTAGTGTTCTATTAATGTATCTTGATTTGTGCATTCCGTTTGCAGCTTCCTTGAATTTTATGTCCATTTAAAAGAACTTTAACTTACCTTCAGCCCTTTGTCTATTTACAACAATCTCAAATTACCTTCAGCCCTTTGTCTAATTACAACAATGTCAACTGGCGTTCGGCCCGTATTCACATTTTTGATGTCAATGAAGTTTTTTTTTTCAAACAATGGAGGCTAGATAAGATGAAGGTTCTTACTAACAACAAGAAGAATGAGTCACACCAAATAATACACACTAACACAATAACACACTAACACAATAACACACTAACACAATAACACACTAACACAATAACACACTGACGAACACATTTCATCAAACTCATGTTTCTGGAAAACAGGAAAGCAACCTTGAATTTATTAAACATTATTGTTTAGCACACATGACTTTATTAAAGATCCTAACAAGAGTAGGTGAAACAAATGGTTTCAAACTGTATTCATCAGGTCAGCCTGGGGTCAAGAACCAAGCTGTCCTTAATTTGTACAGCAGGAATTACAACGGTGATGTAAGTATCAAGATATTGTCAGTAGTTAATGGCAGTTTATAGATATTTTCAGAGGTGACAATAATATTTAATCTATTTAATCTATTAGGTTGGGTGGCGATGTAAGTTCATTGCTTAGAATGTCCATCTTGTGTCCCAGGTTGGTTGGCGATGTAAGTTCATTGCTTAGAATGTCCATCTTATGTCCCAGGTTGGTTGGCGATGTAAGTTCATTGCTTAGAATGTCCATCTTGTGTCCCAGGTTGGTTGGCGATGTAAGTTCATTGCTTAGAATGTCCATCTTGTGTCCCAGGTTGGATGGCGATGTAAGTTCATTGCTTAGAATGTCCATCTTGTGTCCCAGGTTGGTTGGCGATGTAAGTTCATTGCTTAGAATGTCCATCTTGTGTCCCAGGTTGGTTGGCGATGTAAGTTCATTGCTTCGAATGTCCATCTTGTGTCCCAGGTTGGTTGGCGATGTAAGTTCATTGCTTAGAATGTCCATCTTGTGTCCCAGGTTGGATGGCGATATAAGTTCATTGCTTAGAATGTCCATCTTGTGTCCCAGGTTGGTTGGCGATGTAAGTTCATTGCTTAGAATGTCCATCTTGTGTCCCAGGTTGGTTGGCGATGTAAGTTCATTGCTTAGAATGTCAATCTTATGTCCCAGGGAACGTACTACGGTGAAGGGACAGGCGGCACGTGTCAATACGCCACACCTCTCCCACCAGCCGCGACCAATCGAAAGATCTCAGCTTTGGTGGCTCTCAACAAACCTCAGTTTTTGAATTCTATAACCTGTGGCATTTGTCTCAAGGTAAGTTTAGGCGGGGGAAGGGAGACAATGAGACAGACAGTGAGAGAGAGAGAGAGAGCGAGAGAGAGACAATGAGAACATGAAACATATAGTGAGAGAAACAGAGAGAGAGAGAGAGAGAGGGGGGGGGGAGAGTCAAAATGGACCCAGACACGCAGTGCCGCCATTCGCCCCCGTGTACCATTAGACTCAAGCCATTCGGAAGTCATTTGTGGTAGTTTATTTTAGTTAAACTGAAGAAGTAAGTTTACAAACATATAGTCCATTCAATTATCTTTAATTGGACACCTCATTTAGTCTTACAAACCCATAATACAATTTTAAATAGTTTTTTTATCACAACCTCTCACTTCTGGTACCCGGTTGCGAATAGTCGCAGCCATCCAGCAAACCCGCAACGTCCACTTCTATAGAGTGTCTTGTCGGCTGCAGTGACGTCATTGTTGCTTCGTTGTTTATCTCAATTTCAGGTGACTGGTTCCGGTCACGGCCTTGGCGCTAATCCAATCACAGGAGATCACATCGTGTTTGTCAAAGATCTTTGCCCAGAGTGCCACGAAGGTTGAAAACAAATAATTTTAATCTAGAAGAGAACTGATTTATTCTTTTAATTAAAAAAGATAAAATTTCTTTAAAAAAAAAAGAAAAAGCAAAATTTGGACAGTTTAATAGGTCATATAAAAAACGCCATGAATCATTTTGGTGGGAAAGTTGACCCGACAATAAAAACAATCAATATGATCTACTAATGTTAAAAGTAATGATCAGATTCAAATGTTGACACTTGACGGATGGCCACCTGAAATTTTTGCGTCAAAGGAAACAGAAAAATTATGATTATTTTTGTGAGCTGGCGGCAATCCTTCGCACACAGGAGTGCGTGGACGACGTAAAGCGTTGGATGACTTGCAACAAACTGAAGCTAAATGATGATAAAACGGAAATCCTTCTCATCCACTCTCAAAGCAAACCTTTCCCTCCATCCGCTCCTTCTTCTATATCTATCGGCAGCTCTGACATCACACTCTCTTCCTCTGCCAGAAACCTTGGAGTCATGCTTACAGACACCCTCTCCATGGACAAACATGTCATGAATATATGCAGATCAGCATACAACGAAATTAGAAAAATCAGCACCATTAGACACCTCCTCATCTTTGATGCCACAAAAACTCTCGTCTCTTCACTCATTCTTTCAAAATTGGACTACTGTAACACTCTTCTCGCAGGCATTCCTCGACACCACATAGACAAACTTCAGAAGGCAAAGAACTCAGCATGCTGACTCATTTTTAAATTAAAGAAACATGAACACATTCAACCACTCATGCGGCAACTCCACTGGCTTCCAATATCCTCTCGCATCAAGTACAAGTCTGCCAATCTATGCTTCAACTCGTTCACTGACCCTTACTTTCCTGTCTATCTCTCTGAACTGCTGCTTCCTTACATCCCCACAAGACAACTACGCTCTTCCATTGACAGTAGAACCCTCTCAATCCCAAGAACCAAAGTTAAGACCATTGGTGAACGCTCCTTCTACTTCCATGCGACCACGTTCTGGAACCAGCTCCCCTTCCACATCCGTCATTGTGAAACCTCGTCCACTTTCAAAAAGTCCCTTAAAACCTTTTGTTTAGGTCCGCCTATGACCTATGATTCACCCTCCTTGCCCTGCCTCATTTTCTGTCTCGGGTTGATCCTGTAGTATAGGCCAAAACGTTTTAATGTTGAAGCTACTGTTTCTATAGTCATTTTTTTACATTGTAGTTACTATTCAAGTGTCTCTGGTTTTTCATTTTTATTTTACTTTAGCAGTTTAAATAGTTTACATAGTTTTAATTAATTGTAAAGCGCTTAGAGCTGTAGGGTAAGCGCTATACAAAAATGCCTAAATAAATAAATTGTGATTGTGAGAGGAGACTGGTGGATGGTGATTGTGGATTGGTAGATGTGATTGGTGATTTGTGAGTGGTGATTGGAAGATAGTGATTATTGGAGGATGATTGCGATTGCTGGATGGTGATTGTGAAATGTTGATTGTGATTGGTGGATGGTTTCCTTTCTACATACATTCCACCGTCAGATTGAGATTCCACTTATATTTTGAAAAGGTGAATATAAGAACTACAACTTGATGTGGATTATCATAACTCTCCAATGAAGAGTGCTACACCAAATGTCATCCTTGTAACCTCTCAAGAACAAAGACCAAGCCCTATAGACTTAGGCCTTTGCCCTATAGACTTAGGCCGCTGCCCTATAGACTTAGGCCGTTGCCCTATAGACTTAGGCCGCTGCCCTATAGACTTAGGCCGTTGCCCTATAGACTTAGGCCGCTGCCCTATAGACTTAGGCCGCTGCACTATAGACTTAGGCCGTTGCCCTATAGACTTAGGCCTTTGCCCTAAAGACTTAGGCCGATGCCCTATAGACTTAGGCCGTTGCCCTATAGACTTAGGCCGATGCCCTATAGACTTAGGCCGATGCCCTATAGACTTAGGCCGTTGCCCTATAGACTTAGGCCTTTGCCCTAAAGACTTAGGCCGCTGCCCTATAGACTTAGGCCGTTGCCCTATAGACTTAGGCCGCTGCCCTATAGAATTAGGCCGTTGCCCTATAGACTTAGGCCGTTGCCCTATAGACTTAGGCCGTTGCTCTATATACTTAGGCCGTTGAACGTGAATGCGCAATAAATACTCAAAAAAAAAAAATACAACAAAACTCATTAAGGAATTAAGATTGATTGAATGAGGACCTCGTGGTTGCTCATCAATGTTGGTGAATGTTTGGTCATAATGTGGTTGCTCATCAAGGTTGGTGAATGTTTGGTCACAATGTGGTTGCTCATCAAGGTTGGTAGATGTTTGGTCACAATGTTGTTGCTCATCAAGGTTGGTGAATGTTTGGTCACAATGTGGTTGCGTTGTTCTCTTATTCCTTTCCATTCCCACCACAAAAACATAAACACATTTGACATCTTGCCTCCGGCCCCCCCCCCAACCAGGCACGTGACCCATTTTGCCTTTAGATTAATCCGTCGCTGGTTCTCAAACTACTGTGTATTTACTGTCACTCAAGGGTCTGTGGACTTTGCTCTCAACGGAGACGGGAGATGGGGTATCACCATCCACGCCGTCCAGTGCCCAGTGGACAGTACGACCATTCAGTACGCTTTCCAGGGCAGCAACCCATTCTACCTGAAACTTCAGGTCCGAAATGCCAGGTGAGCCTAGTTAGCCTGCCTTGACCTTGAAGTCACGCATGACTTGTTATACGACCAAACTTAATTACTGGCTGACGAAATAATTTGACCGCCAAGATATTGAATATGGCCGCTAAGGTATTGAAGATGGCAGCAAAGGTATTGAACATGGCCGCAAAGGTATTGAACATGGCCGCAAAGTTATTGAAGATTGTCGGAAAGGTATTGAACATGGCCGCAAAGGTATTGAAGATTTTCACAAAGGTATTGAACATGGCCGCACAGGTATTGAACATAGCCGCAAAGGTATTGAAGATTGTCGCAAAGGTATTGAACATGGCCGCACAGGTATTGAACATAACCGCAAAGGTATTGAAGATTGTCGCAAATATATTTAATATGGTCGCAAAGGTATTGAACATAGCCGCAAAGGTATTGAAGATTGTCGCAAAAATATTTAATATGGCCGAAAAGGTATTGAACATTGCCGCAAAGGTATTGAACATGGCCGCAAAGGTATTGAAGATTGTTGCAAAGGTATTGAACATGGCCGCAAAGGTATTGAAGATTGTCACAAAGGTATTGAACATGGCCGCACAGGTATTGAACATAGCCTCAAAGGTATTGAAGATTGTCGCAAAGGTATTGAACATGGCCACACAGGTATTGAACATAACCGCAAAGGTATTGAAGATTGTCGCAAATATATTTAATATGGTCGCAAAGGTATTGAACATAGCCGCAAAGGTATTGAATATTGTCGCAAAAATATTTAATATGGCCGAAAAGGTATTGAACATTGCCGCAAAGGTATTGAACATGGCCGCAAAGGTATTGAACATGGCCGCAAAGGTATTGAACATGGCCGCAAAGGTATTGAACATGGCCGCAAAGGTATTGAAGATCAATAATAACGCTTATATCTATTTATGGCTTAGCACTACCACAAAATACAGGAACCCAACCACCCCCCTCCACCTCGGGTTCCTGCAGGGCGTGACCCTTGTTTATAACTTCCATGTCTAGAATAGAACAAGTAAGATTCTATCTTTGATTCCTAGAATATATTATAAGCTGGGGGCTATTATTTAGTTTATTTGAAACTTTAGGAAAACGTTCACTCAAGATCTAGGCAACCCACAATTACGTTAAATCAACACTACACTACATTTGGGCCATCCAGTAATTACGTCATCAATTTTGAGGCAATTATTTTGACTCCTCCCTTCCCCTTATCAACAACTGTCCAACTTTCAAGGACACCCCCACCACCCCCACCCCCATTTAAGGATATAAACGTTATTTCTCCGCCATCCCAAAAAAGAAAAAAAAAGAAAAATAATAAAGCGAATAAATACGCATCTTTACGAATCCTTCAGATATAAATATTGGACGGGAAGAGTACATTTATAACATTCTAATTCTCACTGTGACATAACCTCTCTCTCTGTCATATCACCTCTCCCTGTGACATCACCTCTCCCTGTGACATCACCTCTCCCTGTGACATCACCTCTCCCTGAAACATCACCTCTCCCTGTGACATCACCGCTCCCTGTGACATCACCTCTCCCTGTGACATCACCTCTCCCTGTGCCACCACCTCTCCCTATGACACCACCTCTCTCTTGATATCCCCTCTCCCTGTGACACCACCTCTCTCTTGATATCACCTCTCCCTGTGACATCAACTCTCCCTGTGACATCACCTCTCCCTGTGAATCACCTCTCCCTGTGTCATCACCTCTTCATATGACACCACCTCTCTCTTGATATCACCTCTACCTTTGACACCACCTCTCTCTTGATATCACCTCTCCCTGTGGCACCATCTCTCTCTTGACATCACCTCTCCCTATGACACCACCTCTCTATGTGACATCACCTCTCTCTGTGACACCACCTCTCTCTGTGACACCACCTCTCTCTGTGACACCACCTCTCTATGTGACACCACCTCTCTCTGTGACACCACCTCTCTCTGTGACACCACCTCTCTCTGTGACACCACCTCTCTCTGTGAAATCACCTCTCTCTGTGACACCACCTCTCTCTGTGAAATCACCTCTCTCTGTGACACCACCTCTCTCTGTGACACCACCTCTCTCTGTGACACCACCTCTCTCTGTGAGACCACCTCTCTCTGTGACACCACCTCTCTCTTGATATCACCTCTCTCTGTGACACACCTCTCTCTGTGACACCACCTCTCTCTTGATATTAAATCTCCCTGAGACACCACCTTTCCCTGTGACATTAATTTAGAACTAATATAGATAAAATGGATTACTTTGGATAAAAGGATCTAGTGTTGCTAAGCATGTGCTCCTTATGTAAGGTGTTACAGTTAAAATGACAAAAGTGGTTTGTGTTTTAGGATCCCCATCACGGGGGTGCCATATCCGGAAATTTGATCGAAAGAAATTTCGTCGACGGTAAATTGATCGACGGTAATTTGATGGAACGGAAATTTGCTCGAATCTTTTTTTTTTCTTCATTTTTTTTATGTTAAAATTTTCCTTCAAATTCCTTTTTGAACGCATTATTTTTTATACCATATAGTATAGTGCTTTTAAAAATAAATTTGAAGAAAATTTTAACGTGTGAACTGGAAAAAAAAAAAAGATTCGACGAAATTTCCGTTCGATCAAATTTTCGTCGATCCATTTACCGTAGACTAAATTTATTTCGATCAAATTTCCGGTAACCAGTCTTGCTAAGCACATGCTACCTATGTTAGGTGCGCTAGTTACAATGACTAAAGTCGTATGTGTTTTAGGATCCCCATCACGGGCGTCCAGGTTCACAGGAGCAACGCTTGGGTCACGATGACCCACAGTGGAGACGGCTACTGGTTGCTCAGCGACGGCCACGCCATGCCAGATGGCGCTTTCGGCATCCGTTTGACAGCTGCCAATGGACACGTGCTAGAGGATACCGTACCGAGAATAGGTATGTGTTAAAATACCGTACCGAGGATAGGTATATGTTGAAAAACTGTACCGAGGATAGGTATATGTTGAAAAAACTGTACCGAGGATAGGTATATGTTGAAAAACTGTACCGAGGATAGGTATATGTTGAAAAACTGTACCGAGGATAGGTGTGTGTTAAAATAATGTATTATTAATTGAATAGATATTTATATATTTATTCATTTTTTGTTTGTTAAGGCGCCCAAATGGTGGATACACTGATGCATGGGATGTACCTTATTTAACGGCTTATTATAGATTTTGATGCATTATACGACCCCCAGCCCCCCCCCCCACCCCAACCCAAAATAAAATAAGAAAGTATTTTTTAATATATTTTTTTGTATTTGAAATTCCTACCGATATCTGAATTTTACTCTCCGAAAATTATATCACAGCAATCAAACTTGGCTAGATATGAAAAAAAAAGAAAAGGATTTTGCAATAAAATTACAGTAAAATACCTAACATTTAGGTTCAATATTAACGGTTAAGTTTCATTTACCGATATGTGTAGGTTAAAACATACAATATTACTTACCTTAGTCCTACTATTTGTTATAAGAGTTGTGGACTGTGAGAAAGCTTTAAAAAAGATTAATTAGACGCGACCAATTTGTGTCAATATAACAATAGATGTTAAGCTTTAATAATAATTTTACATTATACACAAGTAAACGCTTCGGCACCTGCCTTCATCAGTGCAACAACTCGTGACTTACCGGTGATTTTTAGGACTTGTGTTAGTTTATGGGGATATCTTATCAAACTATAACTCCCTTCACCCACCTTTGGTCTACAGGTTGAGGGTTTTAGGAGATATTTTATAAATAGGGTAAATCATGTCTTTTAAGCTGCATTTTTAATATCATAATTTGTGTGTGTGCTGGGGGCAGGGGGATTCTTCATGTTGAATTTAAAAGGGCTTCTTAATTCCTTTTGTAGTTGCCTGGAACGAGATTAGACATCACGCGCTAGTGTTTTTCATCAGGTAACAGTGCGTCCGTCGAAAATTATGTTCATCCTTTGAGCATATGAACCATAGTTGGTCACCGGAAACTAATCCTTGGCCATTGGAAGTCATCCTAGGTCATTGGAAAACGTAGTTGGCCATTGGGTCCAATGATACTTTCGTTTGCGCTCGGTATTTTGTTACATGAACATATGCTTTAAATATACCCAAATTCTCGAATTTAAAAAAAAAAAAATTAGGTCTGACCTAACTTTCCTTCACTGTGGTTTTCAGATAACAGTCACATTTTGGAAGGAGGTCGCAAGGTCCAAGTGCCTCTCGACCCAAGTCTGCCAAATGCCTAAAATGTATTTCAGCAAACGAAGGAACCCCTACAGAATCAAGCTCCACTTGGCAGGGAGAAATCTTTCGCACAAGATTTGTTTCGTTCACGTGTTAACATCACGTCTTAAATAAATTAGAACGGAGCTCTTTTGTGTGTTTTGAAAGTCGTGAATAAATTGACGAAGAAATGTTCCATTAACTCTTTTTCCGTTTTTTTTTTTATGTTTTATGTTTTATGTTTTATGTTTTATTTTATTTGTATGTTGTTGTTTTTTCAAGTTTTATGTTTATGTGAGCTGATGAGATATTGATGTTTGCAATGCCATTCAGATGATGATTCAGGTTTTCAGATACGCACAAATCAAAGAGATTATAAACAAAGTGCGCAGCCAGGCAAACAAGACACTGGGGTCCTTAAGGTGAGATCTAAAGAGCGGCAACTCCAGTGTGGAAAGCAAGAGCCTATAAAGCCTTTATCCGTCCGCTTTTAGATTACGCATCTTCGAGTGTGTTGAGCTGGTCGTAATCTTGACACCAATTTTCGTCAAATAGATATCCCCCTATACTTAATTTTTTCAGGAAAGCCTTTGAGACATGTGTTTCATTTCAAAATATTAATCAGCGCCCAGACACGTGATGCCTAGGTACTTTTACTAGTATCCCAATTTAAAAATGACTAGAACATGTTAAAATCAATTTGTTCACGATAAGTGCCCCTGTTGAGCTCGTTCAGTTCGATTTTAACCTGATGTGAGTGATTCATTAGCATTTAAAGTTTTAGAAAATTCAATTCGCAATTAACTTTTTTTTATATGGGGTAGTGGTAAGTAATATATCATATATTTATATATATACAGTGGAACATCTCATAACGAGTTTTATTCGTTCCAGACTCTTACTCGTTAAACGAAACAATTTTTCCCATTCAAATCAATGTAAAATACGATAATGCGTTCCACGTTGAAAAAATACACATTTTTAAAAAAAATGTATTAACATTTATTCAAATAAAATTACTTATGAATTGTTAAGGAGTGTAACATCTTGGAATACAATTTAGATTTGAAACAAAAAACGTAAATTAAAATATGAATTTATGACAAATCATTAATCCTTTTTAACTAGAAAACTCTTTAAAGACATTTGTTTTTGCCGACGCTTCAAAATTTGACGAAAATGTGTCACATCATTATCATTGAATAAATTTGTAGCACGAAAAGCCACCTCCTTATTAGGGTGATGCTTCTCAATGTACGATGCAACCGTTTCCCATGCTTTCAGCATTTCTCTTATTGCGTTAGAAGATTGTTACTCTGCTACTTTCTCCTCCATTAATGAGCTCTCCTCCATAATTTCTTGCTGTGAAACACGATGCAACTCCATAAGCTCTTCGGTGGTCAACTATTGACTGTGCTCTTTCACAAGCTCTTCAGTATCGTTGTTGTCCACCTCGAGTCCCATGATATTGGCCCATGACACAATCTCGTTAACTGTAGACTCCACAGGTACCGTTTCACAATCACATTCAACAACACTCTCTGGCCAAAGTTTTTCCCAAGCAGAAGTGAGGGAAAAAGGGACTTCCCCTTTCTATGTAACTCGTTTGCGAAATGTCGTTCTTTAAGGGAGCAACTTCTTCACATTTCTTTGAGCTCGTTATGCGAATTACTCTTTATGAGAGTTGCTCGTTATGAGAGGTTGCACTGTATATATATATATATATATATATATATATATATATATAAAAGTATTAGATTTGTTCGCACTCAGTGACCTATATTGTGACCTATTTTGTGTTTCAAATGTGTCTTTATCGTTCGTCCTTGGCAAGTGAATATGACCAATACTCTATATGAGGGTGAGTAGGTAGGTTGCTGGTGAGCCCTATGGGACAGGGTGAGTAGGTAGTTTGCTGGTGAGCCCTTTGGGACAGGGTGAGTAGGTAGGTTGCTNCGCGCGTCCGATCTGGGACAGGGTGAGTAGGTAGGTTGCTTGTGAGCCCTTTGGGACAGGGTGAGTTGGTAGGTTGCTGGTGAGCCCTATGGGACAGGTTGAGTAAGTACGTTGCTGGTGAGCCCTATGGGACAGGGTGAGTAGGTAGGTTGCTGGTGAGCCCTTTGGGACAGGGTGAGTTGGTAGGTTGCTTGTGAGGCCTTTGGGACAGGGTGAGTTGGTAGGTTGCTTGCAAGCCCTATGGGACAGGGTGAGTTGGTAGGTTGCTTGTGAGCCCTATGGGACAGGGTGAGTAGGTAGGTTGCTTGTGAGCCCTATGGGACAGGGTGAGTTGGTAGGTTGCTGGTGAGCCCTTTGGGAAAGGGTGAGTAGGTAGGTTGCTTGCAAGCCCTATGGGACAGGGTGAGTAGGTAGGTTGCTGGTGAGCCCTTTGGGACAGGGTGAGTTGGTAGGTTGCTGGTGAGCCCTCTGGGACAGGGTGAGTAGGCAGGTTGCTTGCAAGCCCTACGGGACAGGGTGAGTTGAGGTTGCTGGTGAGCCCTTTGGGAAAGGGTGAGTAGGTAGGTTGCTTGTGAGCCCTATGGGACAGGATGAGTAGGTAGGTTGCTGGTGAGCCCTTTGGGACAGGGTGAATTGGTAGGTTGCTGGTGAGCCCTATGGGACAGGGTGAGTAGGCAGGTTGCTTGCAAGCCCTACGGGACAGGGTGAGTTGGTAGGTTGCTTGTGAGCCCTTTGGGACAGGGTGAGTAGGTAGGTTGCTTGTGAGCCCTATGGGACAGGGTGAGTAGGTAGGTTACTGGTGAGCCCTTTGGGACAGGGTGAGTTGGTAGGTTGCTTGTGAGGCCTTTGGGACAGGGTGAATTGGTAGGTTGCTGGTGAGCCCTATGGGACAGGGTGAGTAGGTAGGTTGCTTGCAAGCCCTATGGGAATGGGTGAGTTGGTAGGTTGCTTGTGAGCCCTTGGGACAGGGTGAGATGGTAGGTTGCTTGCAAGCCCTATGAGACAGGGTGAGTTGGTATGTTGCTGGTGAGCCCTATGGGACAGGGTGAGATGGTAGGTTGCTTGCAAGCCCTATGGGACAGGGTGAGTTGGTAGGTTGCTGGTGAGCCCTATGGGACAGGGTGAGTGACTGACGATTATTGTTATGGTGTTGACTGATAAATGACCTGATTGTCCTGTGCTGTAGTCATGTTGTATGACTGGACCCGAGATGTTGTTTTTAGGAATGTTTTAACTTAACTGTCTGAATATTGGTTGGAGAACTGGAGTGACTGATCATGTGGTGTGGCGTATAAAAAGAATGTAGAATGGTGAATAAAGGTTCGTTGTGACACAGATAACAGACTTGAGTTGATATCTTATAATACTGATTCAATTATTTGTGCTCGGAAAACTTTGTTTTAGGACCTACTTTTGCTCGGTGTGCGCTTTCTTTGGATGTAAGTGGTACGATTTCTCTCTGAGAAGTGTGTCTCTCCGATAGTGAGATAGTGAGTGCCATCCAATGCATGTGTGCCATGATTTCAGCTTGATGTCCATTGATTTAAGTGCAACTTTCTGGCCATCTTTGAATAAGGGCAACTTTCTGCCCATCTTTAAATAAGGGCAACTTTCAAGCAATCTTTAAATAAGGGGAACTTTTTGGTCATCTTTAAATAAGGGCAACTATCTGGCCATCTTTAAATAAGGGCAACTCTCTGGCCATCTTTAAATAAGGGCAACTCTCTGGCCATCTTTAAATAGGGGCAACTTTCAAGCAATCTTTAAATAAGGGCAACTTTTTGGTCATCTTTAAATAAAGGCAACTTTCAGGCAATCTATAAATAAGGGCAACTTTCTGGCCATCTTTGAATAAGGGCAACTTTCTGGCCATCTTTGAATAAGGGCAACTTTCTGGCCATCTTTAAATAAGAGGAACTTTAAGGCCATCTTTAAATAAGGGCAACTTTCAAGCAATCTTTAAATAAGGGCAGCTTTCTGGCCAACTTTAAATAAGGGCAACTTTCTGGCCATCTTTAAATAAGGGCAACTATCTGGCCATCGTTTAATAAAGGCAACAGTCATGCAATCATTAAATAAGGGCAACTTTCAGGCCATCCTTAAATAAGGGCAACTTTCTGACCATCTTTAAATAAGGGAAACGTTCAGGCCATATTTAAATAAAGGCAATTTTCAAGCAATCTTTAAATAAGGGCAACTTAAAGTGGTTGTTTTTTGTGCCCACGTGATGAGCTCCTTCTTTTGAGAAGTTCACCAATGATAACTTGTTTAAGCAAACTACTGTCTGACATTTTCGCAACATGTCTCGCCCTTCTGTTGTCTACATTTTTTTTTCGAAACTATGTGAGGATTCTGATAACACTAGGCTGTTGTAGGTCTTCTGTTTCTTGGGGCGTTCTTCTGACAAGAAGTTTGACGCAAACAGCGAAAGTGGGGATGATTTTAGTCGTCTAGTATTTCTGCTGCACACTGTCCTTGTATGGCTGGCAAATTTGAGAGTTGGGTGTGCCCTATATAATTTCAGCTTTTTAATATACTATTGAAACTCCTTGACTCCCAGACTGAGACCCCTTCACTCCCAGAATGAAACCCCCTTCAAACCTTGAACGAGACCCCCATCACTCCTAGAATGAGACCCTCTTCATTCCCAGAATAAGACCCCCTTTATTCCCAGAATGAGACCCTATTCATTCCTAGAATGAGACCCCCTTCATTCCCAGAATGAGATCCTCTTCATTCCCAGAATGAGACCCTCTTTATTCCGTGAATGAGACTCTCTTCACTCCCAGAATGAGACCTCCTTCATTCCCAGAATGAGACCCTCTTCATTCTCATAATGAGACCCTCTTCATTTCCAGAATGAGATCCTCTTCATTCCCAGAATGAGACCCCTTCACTTCCAGAATGAGACCCCCTTCACTCCCAGAATGAGACCCCCTTCCATCCCAGAATAAGACCCCCTTCACTCCCAGAATGAGACCCGTTCGCTTCCAGATTCTCATAAGAAGACTTCCGAATATGACATTTCCCATGGAGTTTGTGTAGTTGATCACAGCATACTTCCGAATATGATATTTGCCATGGAGATTCTGTAGTTGATCCCATCATATTTCCGAATACGACATTTGCCATGGAGATTCTGTAGTTGATCACAGCATACTTCCGAATATGACATTTGCCATGGAGATTCTGTAGTTGATCCCATCATATTTCCGAATACGACATTTGCCATGGAGATTCTGTAGTTGATCACAGCATACTTCCGAATATGACATTTGACATGGAGATTGTGTGGTTCATCCTAGCATACTTCCGAATACGACATTTGCCATGGAGATTATGTAGTCGTCCCATCATGTATTGCCACTAACCTGTTGAGGGAAATGCCTAAATAAGTATTGTCTCTACTGCGTTGTGATTCTGTTCATTCACTGAAATGGCTTGTACTTTGTTAGATGTTCCATTAATCTGGCTGGCTGGTGCCAGACTTGTGTTAAGGGTATGAGAATCACCGTTGTTATGTGTAGATCACTGTTGTTATGCTTGGTAGGGAAAAGATTATATAGGACGTCAGAGAGGTGTGTGTGTGTGTGTGTGTGTGTGTGTGTGTGTGTGTGTGTGTGTGTGCGCGTGTGTGTGTGTGTGTGTGTGTTTTTATACGTGTGATTGACGTAACCTGATACGTCAATGACACGTAATAAAACACACACACACACACACACACACATATACAAAAAAAGAAAAAGAAAAAAAAAAAGAAGAAAAAAAAATAATCTGGCTGGCTGGTGCCAGACTTGTGTTAAGGGTATGAGAATCACCGTTGTTATGTGTAGATCACTGTTGTTATGCTTGGTTGGGAAAAGATTATATAGGACGTCAGAGAGGTGTGTGTGTGTGTGTGTGTGTGTGTGTGTGTGTGTGTGTGTGTGTGTGCGCGTGTGTGTGTGTGTGTGTGTTTTAATACGTGTCATTGACGTAACCTGATACGTCAACTTTGCCCCATTCGACGTCAGCACGGTGTACATGTACAAAAATAAAATTGAGCCAATCGACTACATTAGAAATTATAGGGCACTTTATGTTCAAGGGATGTTGATATTTTGCAATGGATTATTAACGTGATCTTAAGGTTTTCAAGGGGAATCAAGTCTATCGGATTGAATGAATGGCGTAACAGGATTTGACTGAAATCTTTGAATGATCAACTCTATCGACAGTAGCGAGGTGTTGTTTGTTGAACTAACAATCATAGCCTAGTTGATGTAAGTGAACGTTATACTCTAATGTATACTCAAAGGTAATCTCAACGGTACACTCAAAGGTAATCTCAAAGGTAATCTCAACGGTACACACAAAGGTAACCTCAAAGGTAATCTCAACGGTACACACAAAGGTAACCTCAAAGGTAATCTCAACGGTACACACAAAGGTAACCTCAAAAGTAATCTCAACGGTACACACAAAGGTAATCTCAAAGGTAAACACAAAGTATACTGGAAGGTAAACACAAAGGTATACTCAAAGGTATACTCAAAGGTATACCCAAAGGTATACACAAGGTGTACTCAAAGCAATAATCGGCGACAGTTTTTCAAAATTTTATAAAGGCTATTATTTATTTGAGTTTTTAAATTTTTTAAAAGTTGCACAGTCCAAAAAATTACCCCCTCCCCACCCCCATTACCTTCTTTGGGGTGGAGGTGGCAGTAGACTTTCTCTGGAAGCATAGCACCGCATCCTGAAAAGAAATTCACAAGAAACACTGCTCTTCCACTAGGCCACAGAGCCGAACATAATGTGTTCATTTATTTGTATTGAATATTTATTTTAAAAAAAAGAATGAAGTACAAAAAGCTGCATGTGTTTAAATGAGACTTTGTGATGAATTTCTTTAAATTGAAGCTGTTTCGCCGTTGGAACGGCCACTTTCGTAACAGACCTTATCTCGCGAGACCATGGACATGTGACTACAGTATCTGAACTTATCTCGCGAGATCATCGACGCGTCGAATAAAGATAATATGTTACACATTTGAGCGAAGAGCTCTTCTGTAGCGTTGCATTGAGTCATGGTTGTTGTGTCCCCTTCTGTTAGTCTTCACGCTGATTAGTCGGCCTTGGTTTATTGAAACATTCCGCATTTAATTATTTTTTTTTTAATACTCTCAAACCTGGTTAGCGATGTCTTCGTTTGTGATTTACTGCGCCTTACAGCTCATTGCTTCTTTCGCTCAAGGTAAATAAAGGATTTATTACAGTTATAAATATTTATATCCACAATATTTTGAGCCATTTTTTTTCAATTGTAATTAAACAAACAATATTTTTCGTATAAATCTTGTACATGCAATTTAGAGCGACTTAGAAATGATTACATTTCTTAAGAAACCATTGCATCATATTTCCTTCATCTCCATGACCCCCCCCCCCCCCTCCCTCGGGCCAAGACCCGCAACCCAACATTTTTTCCCACGCCCCTGAACTAAATTTATACACTAATTTCCCATCCGCTTTTTACAACTCAGATTTATTGCACAAACTATATTCATAAAAACAGAAGAAACTATTACGCACCAAACGCACTTGTGATATTTGTATGACTCTCATTTAGCGCAGTTATCGGAAATTTTATTTCGTGACCTCAGTGTCGTATGGTAACGTTTAAATTGTTTTTTGGGGGGTTTGCGGTGGGGCTGAAAATTTAAGAGAATGTGTTGCCATTGGAAACGAGTCAATGTACCCAGTCTCAGCTCGATAGGATGACGCGAAGTGGGTCACTTGGCCATTCGAAGATTTTGCCACCCAGCCAGATACGCACAAACAAAAGTGAAGTTAATAAAAAGGATTTTAAAATATCGATACTATTAGAAATTACTACCTGCTAGAAATTACCCGTCAAAATTAATCGTCTTTACATTTTACAAAAATAGATTTTTGCCGTTCCCATCCAAGATATATGTAGTTTGTCAAAAATCGTGCATCTTACTATAAAGAAAAAAATTGCGCTCGTGTGTGGGGGGGGGGCACCTCCACCTCACCCTTCCTACGCCACTGATGTCGATCAAACCTGAAAAAGATGGAAATTAAGTCTAAGCCCATGAGATGACGTCATACATAACTAGGGGCTAGGAGGGTCGAGGAGGGGTGGGGGATTTTGCGTTTATTATCGGGAATGAAATCAGTTAAGCTCTCCTGTGGTGGCCCGGCTCTCCTGTGTGCCTGGCTCTCCTGTAGTGGTCCGGCTCTCCTGTGGTGGCCCGGTTCTCCTGTGGTGGCCCGGCTCTCCTGTGGTGGCCCGGCTCTCCTGTGGTGGTTCGGCTCACCTGTGGTGGTTCGGCTCTCCCATGGGGTTCCGGCTCTCCTATAGCGGTCCGGCTCTCCTATAGCGGTCCGGCTGTGCTATGATGGTCCGGCTCTTCCATGGTGGTTCGACTCTCCAATTGTGGTCCGGCTCTCCTATAGCGGTCCGGCTGTCCTATGATGTTCCGGGTCTTCCATAGTGGTCCGGCTCTCCCATGGTGGTCCGGCTCTCCCATGGTGGTCCAGCTCTCCTGTAGTGGTCCGGCTCTCCCGTGGCGGTCCGGCTCTCACATGGTGGTCCGGCTCTCCCATGGTGGCCCGGCTCTCCATATAGTGGTCCAGCTGTTCTATGATGGTCCGACTCTCCCATGGTGGTCCAGCTCTCCCATGGTGGTCCGGCTCTCCTATAGCGGTCCGGCTCTCCTATGATGATTTGGCTCTCCCATGGTGGTCCGGCTCTCCCATGGTGGTCCGGCTCTCCCATGATGGTCCGGCTCTTCTAAAGCGGTCCGGCTCTCCCATGGTGTTCCGGCTCTCCTATGATGCTCCTGCTCTCCTATGACGGCCCGGGTCTCTTATGGTGGTCCGGGCGTAAGTGTTCAACGTTTAATATCCCCTGATATGGTGGGCAAGAATCCAAAGGCGTAGCCAGAGTGTTTGGCGCCCGGACACAAGATTCGCGCATAGGGACAAGATTCATTTTAAAGTGCCCCATTTTTTTATCTTATCAACTCTCAAACCCAATATTTTCATCAATAAAATAATATCAAAGCACATTTTGGCGTCCTTAGCCAGTTGGCTCCGGGGAATCTGTCCCCCCTGCCACCCTTCGCCACGCCTCTGCAAGAATTACAAGGATATAATGTGACATGGGGGGGTCCTGATGCTTCAGTTATCTTACCCAGAGGCTATGGCATAGATCTTGTAGATAGACCTACTTACTGAACAAGCTTAGCTGTGGATAGACCTACTTACTGAACAAGCTTAGCGGTGGATAGACCTACTTACTGAACAAGCTTAGCGGTGGATAGACCTACTTACTGAACAAGCTTAGCAGTGGATAGACCTACTTACAGAACAAGCTTAGCGGTGGATAGACCTACTTACTGAACAAGCTTAGCGGTGGATAGACCTACTTACTGAACAAGCTTAGCGGTGGATAGACCTACTTACTGAATAAGCTTAGCGGTGGATAGACCTACTTACTGAACAAGCTTTGCGGTGGATAGACCTACTTACTGAACAAGCTTTGCGGTGGATAGACCTACTTACTGAACAAGCTTAGCGGTGGATTGACTTACTTATAATGAACAAGCTTCGTGTGGCCATTACTCCAGTTGTCCGTCAACAGTGCACAATATTCCATAGTGGTCCATTTGTTACATTTACAGTGCACGATATCCCCTGTATTCTATTCGTTAGAGTGCATAATATCCCTAGTGGTCCATTTGATACAGTTACAGTTACAGAGCATAATATCCCCATGGTTCATTTGATACAGTTACAGAGCATAATATCCCCATAGTTCATTTGTTACAGTTACAGAGCATAATATCCCCATGGTCCATTTTATATAGTTACAGTTACAGAGCATAATATCCCCATAGTTCATTTGTTACAGTTAGAGAGCATAATATCCCCATGGTCCATTTTATATAGTTACAGTTACAGAGCATAATATCCCCATGGTCCATTTGATATAGTTACAGTTACAGACATGGGCGCCTGCAGGTAGGGGCCAGGTGGGGCACTTGCCTCCCCCCCTGGATTGATTGGATAAAAAAAATTAGACAAAAATAAACAAAAAATGTATTAAAGTAAAGAGAAAATAAAGAGAAAGTAACTCAGCTGATGTCCTGTCCATTCTTTCACCATACAAATACGCTACAGTAAATTAAAACTACATTAAAACATTACCAAACATTTTTTGCCCCCCCCCTGGAAAGTTAATCGATTTTTTTTGCCCCCCCCCCCTCATGGTTACAGAGCATAATATCCCCATGGTCCATTTGATATAGTTGCAGTTACAGAGCATAATATCCCCATGGTCCATTTGATATAGTTGCAGTTACAGAGCATAATATCCCCATGGTCCATTTGATATAGTTACAGTTACAGAGCATAATATCCCCATGGTCCATTTGATATAGTTACAGTTACATAATATCCCCATGGTCCATTTGATATAGTTGCAGTTACAGAGCATAATATCCCCATGGTCCATTTGATATAGTTACAGTTACAGAGCATAATATCCCCATGGTCCATTTGATATAGTTACAGTTACAGAGCATAATATCCCCATGGTCCATTTGATATAGTTACAGTTACAGAGCATAATATCCCCATGGTCCATTTGATATAATTACAGTTACAGAGCATAATATCCCCATGGTCCATTTGATATAGTTACAGTTACAGATCATAATATCCTCATGGTCCATTTGATATAGTTACAGCTACAGAGCATAATATCCCCATGGTCCATTTGATATAGTTACAGTTACAGAGCATAATATCCCCATGGTCCATTTGATACAGTTACAGTTACAGATCATAACATCCCCATGGTCCATTTGATACAGTTGCAGTTACAGAGCATAATATCCCCATGGTCGATTTGTTACAATAACCATGTAATGTTTGTTTTCTTAGCTGCAACAATTTTTGTAGTTAATGTTACGTTTACATAGGGCTCCTTTCGTTGATTGTTACACATTTACGCAGCCACTAATGACTATCATTGCCTCTCTTCTCGCCAACAGCTCAGCCTGGGGTCAAAAACCAAGCAGTTTTAGATCTCTTTACAAAGAACTACAAAGGAGATGTAAGTAGATGATATCAAATGGATAGACATCTAACTAGGAGATGTAAATGGATGATATCCAATGGATAGACAACTAACCTCATTTACATTTTTCAAGTTTCGTATAGGTGTGTTCCGAATATTTATTCACGTAATACAACGGTTCTCAACAAGTGTACGTTATGTTTCTTCAAGTAGAACATTAGTCTGAGGTACCTGTATAGTTAGATAAGTAGTGCAACATAAGTTTGATAACCCCTAATAGAAAACATTGTTGAAAGAAAAATATTTTCACTCCGAAAATTAAGTGTGAATTGAATAAGCATTAATAGAGTTTCTTTGCAACAGCTGTATGACGGGATGGTTGTTGTAACAGCTACAGCTGAATGATTTCCTGTGTTTAGTACCAGCACCAGCTGATCCGAGGCGGAACTTGGCACTAGAAACAGCTGTGTCACGTGATGTGTTTGGCACTAGAAACAGCTGTGTCACGTCATGTGTTTGGGACTAGAAACAGATGTGTCACGTGATGTGTTTGGTACTAGATACATCTGTGTCACGTGATGTGTTTGGTACTAGAAACATATGTGTCACGTGATGTGTTTGGCACTAGAAACAGCTGTGTCACGTGATGTTTTTGGTACTAGAAACAGCTGTGTCACATGATGTGTTTGGTACTAGAAACAGATGTGTCACGTTATGTGTTTGGTACTAGAAACAGATGTGTCACGTGATGTGTTTGGTACTAGAAACAGCTGTGTCACGTGATGTGTTTGGCCCTAGAAACAGCTGTGTCACGTGATGTTTTTGGTACTAGAAACAGCTGTGTCACATGATGTGTTTGGTACTAGAAACAGATGTGTCACGTTATGTGTTTGGTACTAGAAACGGATGTGTCACGTGATGTGTTTGGTACTAGAAACAGCTGTGTCACGTTATGTGTTTGGCCCTAGAAACAGTTATGTCATGTGATGTGTTTGGCACTAGAAACAGCTGTGTCACGTCATGTATTTAGTACTAGAAACAGATGTGTCACGTGATGTGTTTGGCACTAGAAACAGCTGTGTCACGTGATGTGTTTGGCACTAGAAACAGCTGTGTCACGTTAGGTGTTAGGCACTAGAAGCAGCTGTGTCTACAGCAGTATAGTATCAAGGCCGTACAAAGTACACTAGCAAAAATCATCGTTAGATTAAACGATAAAATCATATTTTCTTCACAAAGACAAGGGGCGCCAAAAACCGGGCAATTCTATAGAAGGGCGTTATTTTCAGTTTTGCTCCGGGTGCCACTTTTCCTCGGCGCAGCCTTAGGCACAAGCTGGCTCAAATGCTATCTTTGGTACTAGCACAAGGAGGCTATAATGTTTTTTGGTTGTAGCACTAGGCTAGAATGTTGTCTTTTGGTTGTAGCACTAGGAGGCTAGAATGTTGTGTTCTGGTCACTAACCTAGGATGGCTCCTTTGAGTATCATGAAACATCTCTTTGGGGAATCTTATGGAAGGATAGAATGGATGAGTGGTGAGGTGGATTATGGTGATCTATGAGTAGTGTAACTTATAGAAATAGTGGTTGAAGTGTTGTTATGTGCCGTTGTGTGGTGTGGGTTGAATGGGGGGGGGGATGGTTGTGGTGTTGTAAGGTGTAGGTTGGATGGGATAAGGATGGTTTTTGTGTTGTGTTGTGTAGATTGGATGGGAGAAGGATGGTTGTGGTGTTGTGTGGTGTTAGTTGGATGGGTTAAGGATGGTCTTTGTGTTGTGTGGTGTAGGTTGGATGGGAGAAGAATGGTTTTTGTGTTGTGTGGTATATGTTGGATGGCAGAAGGATGGTTGTGGTGGTGTGTGGTGTAGGTTGGATGGGAGAAGGATGGTTTTTGTGTTGTGTGGTATATGTTAGATGGCAGAAGGATGGTTGTGGTGGTGTGTGGTGTAGGTTGGATGGGAGAAGGATGGTTTTTGTGTTGTGTGGTATATGTTGGATGGCAGAAGGATGGTTGTGGTGGTGTGTGGTGTAGGTTGGATGGGAGAAGGATGGTTATGGTGTTGTGTGGTGTAAATGGTTGGGATAAGGATGGTTGTGGTGTTGTGTGGTGTAGGTTGGCTGGGGAAGGTGTTTCAGAGATAAGGGTTATGGTGGTGAATAATCGGTAGCATGGATGACGGAAAGGATTATTTTGCAAAAGAAAATTAGAAAATAGAAGCGAGAAGTTTAGAAAATCGCGACTATCCTTCCCACTGTAATGCTGATTATTGTTTTTAACATTGAACAACTGTCGGCCATTTTTTTTAACATAAATTATCGTATTAAGAATTACTGCAACAGTTTACTACCTAGTTAATTTAATTTGTTTCTGTCAAGGGCACCTACTACGGTGATATCGTCGAAGGAACATGTCAGATTGCCAAACCACTACCGGAAGCAGCTAGCAATGCCAGGATCACAGCATTGGTCGCGCTTAATAGACCTCAGTTCATGAACTCACTCGTATGTGGCATGTGCATCAAGGTAGGGCACCATTTTGTATATGGCATGTGCATCAAGGTAGGGCACCATTTTGTATATGGCATGTGCATCAAGGTAGGGCACCATTTTGTATATGGCATGTGCATCAAGGTAGGGCACCATTTTGTATGTTTTTTTATGTATTAAACAGATGACACGTGTGATGAGAGTCTCTTTGCCAATGTATTTATAAGTGGTTATTTGCAGATTTATTTGTGAGTGTCTAGTTGCCAATAGGGTGCTGGTTGGCCGAGTGGTCTAAACTGAGCAAATCTCAAGTTGGTGGTCTGGAGTTCAATTCCAGCTAGAGCAAAAACACCACCAGCACCCCGGGTAGATGGGACTCGTTAACCTTGGACGGCAACTCATCTAAGAGAAGGAAACTCTGAAATCAAACCCGGAGATGGAGTCCCGAAAGGCGGATAACATTGATACAACGAAACATTCCGACAACTCCTGCGACGTCACTGGTGCCAAGCTGTATCATCCAATGATGTTCCCTTGGGTTACCCAGCCCGCACCTCTCTCCGCTAAACGACAACCCTTGGTCGAATATATCCTTCAAGTATAATAATCCCAGGCTATGTGGATTTCGTCCTACGAAGCCCACTCCATCGTCACATTGTGACGGACGGCTGCCAGTTGCCAATATATTTATGGATGTCTATTTATTAATGTATTTATGAGTATGAGCGTCATTTTGGTAATGCATTTTTAAATAAAATTTTATGTTTATTAATAGGCAAAGCTAATGTATTTATACGTGTCTATTTTTATGTATTTATAAGTGTTTTTTTTAATGTTTTTTATAAGTGTCTATTTTTATGTATTTATAGGTGTCTATGTTTATGTATTTATAATTTTCTATTTATATGCATTTTCAGTGTCTATTTTAATGAATGTATAACTGTCTATTTTTATGCATTTATAAGTGTCTATTTTTATGTATTTAAAATTGTCTATGTATATGCATTATAAGAGTCTATTTTAATGCTTTTATAATTGTATATTTAAATACATTTATTAGTGTCTATTTTTATGATGTTATAATTGTCTTTTTATATGCATTAGACATTCATAAATGCATATAAAAAGACAATTATAACATCATAAAAATAGACATTCATAATTTTTATGTATTTATAAGTATAAATGTCTATTTGTTGGTTTAATTATAAATGTATATTTGTTGGTGTAATTACAAGCATCTTTTTGTTGGTGTAATCATAAGTGTCCATTTGTCTCAGAATGAATCTATCTGATCACCTTCATCTAAAAAATACAACTCTCCTCACTTACCTTCAGCTGATAGATCACAGGATGGGTTTGGGGAATAGTTTATGGGTGGGGGGTGCATGGTGGGCCTATTTGGTATTGTCTGCCTACTTTTATTGTACTTAACAATATTAATATGGTTATTTATGTCTACGTTCAGGTGACAGGCTCAGGCCACGGGTTGGGTTCAAATCCAATCACAGGGGAGCACATTGTCTACGTCAAGGATATGTGTCCAGTATGCCATGAAGGTAAGACCATGTTAACTACATTGTGTACGTGAAGGATATGTGTCCAGTATGTCATGAAGGTAAGACAAGTTTAACCACATTGTCTACGTCAAGGATATGTGTCCAGTATGTCATGAAGATAAGATAAGGTTAACCACTTTGTCTACGTCAAGGATATGTGTCCAATATGCCATGACGGTAATTATTCATGACTGAACCATCGGGTGCTGCACAAACATGTGTCATGTTTTATGAGTAGCTTCTGACCATTTGACTTCTCCAGGGGTCAGCACATTTTGTGTTTGATGAGCCAGCTCATAAATTAGTTTGTATCTGCTTAGTAAGTATCTTAAGAGACGCATACAGGATTAGGGTTAGGGCTCAGAGTTAGGATTAGTGTTAGGGGTTAGAGTTAGGATTAGTGTTAGGGGTTAGAGTTAGGATTAGGGGTTAGTGTTAGGAAACAGGTTAGGGTTATTGATTTGGGGTTAGGTTTAGGGTTCGGGATAGGGTTATGGGTTAGGGTTTAGGGCTAAGGTTAGGGTTAAGGTTCAGGGTTAGGGTTAAAGTTAGGCTCAGGGTTGGATTAGATGTAGGGTTAGGGTAAGGTTAAGGTTTAGGGGTTAGGATTTAGGGTTCAGTATAGGGTTAGGTAAATGGGTTAGGTGTTGGATTAGGCTTAGGGTAAGGTTTAAGGATTATGGATAGGGTTAAGGGTTAGAGTTAGTGTTTATGGTTAGTGATTAGTGGCTAGGGTTAGGTTTTGGGGTTGAGGTTAGGGTTATGTTTAGGGTTAGGGGTTAAGCTTAGGGTAAGGTTTAGGGGTTGGGCTTAGGGTTCGGGATAGGGTTAGGGGTTAGGTTTAGGGTTTGGGTTAGGGTTAAGGTTTAGGTTCAGGGTTAGGATTGTATTTAGGCTTAGGGTTAAAGCTAGGTTCAGGGTTTTGTGTTAGGGTTAAGTTTAGGGTTATTATTAGGTTTAGGGGCAAGGGTTAGTGGTTCGGTTTAGGGTTAAGGTTAGGGTTAGTCTTAGCATTTAGCGGTTAGGTTTAGGGTTAGGTTTTAAGGTTAATGTTAGGTTTCGTGTCTGGTTTAGGGTCATTGTTAGTTGTAGGGCTAGTGTTATGTTTAGATTTAGAGCCTGTAATCTTGTGGCCGAAAAGTGGGGCTCATATGTGGAAAACTATCAACTTTGAATGCAAGTTGTAAAAAACTGGAAATCGGTACCTTCACGTGACGACTCTGTTGGTGGATTTGGAGAACGAATGTCCACATAACACGTGACCTGATGTAATACTTTATATATGTTTCTTTATGTCAACTATCCCATTATGTAAATATCCTATTATCCCATTATTCAACTATCCTATTATCCCATTATTCAACAATTATATTATCCCATTATTCAACAATTCTATTATCCCATTATTCAACTATCCTATTATCCCATTAATCAACTATCCTATTATCCCATTATTCAATTATCATATTATCCCATTGTTCAACTATCCTATTATCCCATTATTTCACAAGGTGATGTGGACTTTGCACTTGACGGGGATGGTAGATGGGACATCACTATCCAAGCCGTCCAGTGTCCAGTTGGTTCCACCATCATTCAGTACGCCTTCCAGGGAAGCAATCCCTGGTACATAAAGCTACAGATCAGGAACGCCAGGTCAGTGTTTTATCTGTTTGATTACATCCTCCACGCACTCAGTGTTTTATCTGTTTGATACATCCTCCACGCACACAGTGTTTTATCTGTTTGATACATCCTCCACCCACACAGTGTTTTATCTGTTTGATGCATCCTCCACCCACACAGTGTTTTATCTGTTTGATTACATCCTCCACCCACGCAGTGTTTTATCTGTTTGATACATCCTATAAACTGTATGTCCATATGTTCCAGAATTCCAATCACAGGGGTGAAATATAAGCTGTATGTCCATATGTTCCAGAATTCCAATCACCGGTGTGCAGATTCAAGCAAATGGCAACTGGTTGACACCCACCCACAGCATTGACGGGTACTGGACCCTGTCAGTTGGTAACGGCATGCATGATGGGCCGTTCAATGTCCGTTTAACAGCAGCCAACGGTCAAGTTTTGGAGGATTCAGTTCCAAAGATAGGTATGGATACAAATACATTTCTTTCAGTTCAACTCCACCCGTACGTGTATAATACTAGAAAATTTGACCCGGTGTTATCGGGATAATATTGTAAGGCATATCGCGCTAATTTGTATCTTCTGTTGCTAAGTAGAAACATCTAAATCCAATTTTTAAGTATGTAATTGAATTCGATTTCGATGTATTGTATCCTTTAAAAAAATATAAATTTTTCGCACCCTTGGAATGTATCTTTAGGAAATAGTAAATCAGACTTTCCTTATTTTAAAGACGCATCGCAGTAAAAATGTAATGTTTCAAACACCATTGGGTTTTGAGAAAAGTTTATCTTCTACATAATATAAGCCTACCCAACCGTTCTTGAAGTCCCTGAACTACAGAGGAAACTTATTTTCTAAAAATTGTAAAATTGTATCTATACATTTTCGATCAAAATAGTAATTCAACACATATTTCAGTACATTTAAAGAATATGGGTTTTAATTAAAATTAAAATCCATACCAATGCTCAAATTATGGTAACATAATCGAGTTTGTAGTTATTGATAATGATATGTGCGCTACCTCCCCCCGAAATTTTATTCAAAGATGATAGTAAATAATCTCTATCGCATTTTATACAATATCCTACCTCCCACATTCAGATAAATACTAAAAATAACTATTTATTTACTATATAAAATTTGTTGTAATTTGTGATTGATAATTATTATAATACTATAGATTGCTTGTACTTGCAAAAAAGCAGATTTATTTGATACGATTTATATTGATTCGATTTTTGTATATTAAAAACAAAAATAACTATCATTGTTTTCAAGAATCCCATTTAGAAATAGGAATCTTACGTCACGCGCCTACTGGACAAAAATGTAACATGTTGTTTGGTGCATCCTGGGGGGGATTTTATTATTCGCGCTATTGAACAGGGCGTAGCACAATGACATTTGCTCATATGAGCGACACTGACGAATAAAGCAACACTCCCTCACTTTAAACACGGCATGTGTTAAGTGCCCGTTAATATACCACAGGCATGGGATATTATTTTCCAAACGCGGTAAAGATGGGTGTAGATCCGAACAGTGCCCAACACTCATAATATTGATTTTTGTTCTCAGAAAGTTATGGTTAATATGTCTGACATTTAAATATATATATTTGACAGACAATGACAACATCATGGATGGCCTTAAGAGAGTGCAGGTGGCCCTTGACCCCAGCCTGCCTAGTGCTTGAGAGATCTGGACAGCTCAACAAATGTTTACAAGTTCGTTTTTTTTATGAATAAAAAGAGAAGTTTGCGTAAGAAGAACAGCTTGTGCTGCTGGTGTTGTTTATAGAGACGTGTCCGTTTACTTGTTGAATGGATCGAATCGAATCGCCAACTTGGAATAAAACGGATATTTGAAATTTAACCAAAAAACAGTTTTAATCATTTCTTGCACAACAGTTTTGGTGATTGTGTTCTGGGCCACACAAGGGTCAAGAGGGGTCACGCGTTGCGTGTGGGTCACACCAAAAAGGGAAAGGCATCAAAATTGGTTCATAAAGATTTTTTTTTTTAAAAATCAAATATAATTGTATGGTGGAAATCATAAAGCGATCCTGAGGAGGAGGAAATAAAGAGGAGGAAGTGCAAATGGAGGACATAAAAAGAGGACATACAGAGAAGGAAATGGAGATGGATTGTGACGTGGCTAGTAGAGCTGGATGTAACTTTTTGGAGGCCTGATTCAATCAGGACACACAAATTAAACCAGACCTTCGAGCCATCGTGAAACAATGAATAATTACACTGTATTATAAAGAACTTCTCCTACACATTCTCAAACGTATTTGTACATTCTCACAAGTTTTACTTAACAGCTATACTCAAAGTCTGGCCTGCATTAGTCATCACATATTTGTATTGCACTAATCATCACACATTTCTATTGCACTAATCATCACACATTTCTATTTCATTAATCATCAAACATTTCTAGTGCACTATTCATCACACATTTCTATTTCATTAATCATCACACATTTCTAATGCACTAATCATTTTCATGGCATTAATTATCATCTCTGCCTAACAGTTGCGTAGCTGCAGTTTGTGACTTTCAGGGCGCACTAAGGCTTGTGCCACACCCCCCCCCTTTTCAAACACCTCACGAAAAAAATAACAACAAAATATCTTTATTTTGATATGCATATCCAGGGTGTTATAAGGTCGGTGGGTCCCATAAGTCTCAACACCCACCCCCCCCCCACATCGAAATTCTAAGATAACATCCGTCCATGACTTTGTTAAAAAGTGTCAAATGAATTAATGGCAGTGGTGTTCCGTGGTGTCTAGTGAGCTGTGGCACTGAAGGCACCAGAGGCGTACCTAAGGGGAGGGGCAGGGGGGGGGGGCAAATGTCCTCGGGTGCCAAACACTCCAACTACGCCCCTGGAATACACCACATGTTATTATTTTAGGATCAGTCCCGAATGCCCAAAGATATTACGATCAGCAAATTGGAAAATAACAAACGAATTTTGAGGTGAAAACCATTTTTTTTTTCAACCTGACTGAATTTGCTTTCCCATAAAGAAAAGATCTCTGAAGGCTGCCGCCTTCGTTAATTTTTTTTAATAATTGTAAAGCGCTTAGAGCTTTAAGGTAAGCGCTATATAAAAATGCCTAAAAAAATAAAAGTGGCGGGTTGCTTTGCCTCCCTTCGTGCAATACTTTACCCCCAGATCTCTAGTAAACTGAGAGTTCCAAGATCTGATAACAGTAACTAATATATCTCTAGTTAACTGAGAGTTCCAATATCTGATAACAGTAACTAATATATCTCTAGTTAACTGAGAGTTCTAATATCTGATAACAGTAACTAATATATATCTAGTTAACTGAGAGTTCCAATATCTGATAACAGTAACTAATATATCTCTAGTTAACTGAGAGTTCTAATATCTGATAACAGTAACTAATATATCTCTAGTTAACTGAGAGTTCTAATATCTGATAACGGTAACTAATATATCTCTAGTTAACTGAGAGTTCCAATATCTGATAACAGTAACTAATATATCTCTAGTAAACTGAGAGTTCCAAGATCTGATAACAGTAACTAATATATCTCTAGTTAACTGAGAGTTCCAATATCTGATAACAGTAACTAATATATCTCTAGTTAACTGAGAGTTCTAATATCTGATAACGGTAACTAATATATCCCTAGTTAACTGAGAGTTCCAATATCTGATAACAGTAACTAATATATCTCTAGTTAACTGAGAGTTCCAATATCTGAAAACAGTAGCTAATATATCTCTAGTTAACTGAGCGTTCCAATATCTGATAACAGTAACGAATTAATATACAAATAAAATTATGATTTGTGCTTTTTAATCTCTAAAATGACTTTTCTTTGCAAGGGGAGGGGGCTCAAATGCCGTCCATAATATGTAGCAAAAAGAAAGTGTCGTTTGGGGTGCACGGTATCACCCCCCCCCCCACACACACACACACACACTTTTTTTTCCTACGCCAATGAAGGCCCTTGCATTCTTTGTAGACTTCTTTTTATTAAATACTAGCGATTATACCCGGGCTTCACTAAGGGGGAGAGAGTGGGGTGGGTGTGACGTTAAATTGAAGGATTATGTTGTTGCTGTTTATTTTAAATATTATCTCCATTTAATTGAGTCAGTGGTTGGCCCTAAAAAGGAAACAGCTAACTTCGGTAGGAAAAAAAAATGTAGGTGGGGGTCGGGTAGGTAATCGTTCATTAGAAGTCCCAAGTCATCTTTAATGATTGTGTATTTATGGCACACACAAGTTTCGTCTCGGTGGAGATGTCCCCCTGATTGCATGCACCTTTGCTACAATCTTCAGTTTACTGGCCATTCAAGTTTCAATTTGATTCTATGATTTATTACATTTATATTTTTAACCTCCAACATACTCTCTAATCTTTTCTTTTTTTTTTTTTTTTGTTTCCCTGTTGGTCTTTTTTTCATTTCTTCTTTTATCCCCCATGACTAGCAACTCATCCTATCATATCTCAAATCAGCTCTCTCCTATCATTCCAATTTCCTACTCAACCTCTATTTTTTTTTTTTTTTTTTTAAATTCAACCCCGCAACCATTCGCTAATCCCACTGCACAGTCCCTCGTAAACTACGATCATAGTTACACTACAACAGGGGAGTAACTCCTGTGTCGTCTCGCAGGTAAGTATCTTGTTTTGTTTTTTTTTTCTATTTCAGAGTTTTCCATTATTCAAACCTAACCACACCACCTCCTTATTCTTCTAGTTCACATGTTCATATAGTCTTTAACCATCTAACCCATGCCTACAAAACTCAAGAAGTAAGGTGGGCCGTAAAAATTTATGAAAATCTTGTGCAAGCCGAAAGGAAATAGGACTGGGTTGGGGGGGGGGGGGGAGGGATTATTAAGAAAATAAAAATAATAAAGAATATGTTGTTACTTCGCCAGCCGCAAAGTGGGTGCTGGCGGGCCTCATGTGGCCGGCGGGCCGTATGTTGTGCAGGCCTGATCTAACTCATTAATCTCTCTTACCTCACTTTCATTGACAACTGAGCTAAACATGACCCAAAGCTTACCCTCAAACCAAAACTCTTCATGAAAAACACACAGCCGTCTCGAATTGACATCTAATATTAGCCACGACCTTGACCCAGTGTTTTCCATCATGTTTGCACCATGATCCTCTTCCTCAGCATCAAAAAGGTTTCATGTCCCCCAGCCCCAGCCCCCTACTAAGGTCTTATTGGTCAAGTAAGGAAAGTTTGAATTTCACGTGAATTACAAAATTTATAATATGGGAAATATATTTTTATTTGCATTCAATGAAAAACAATAAGACAAGAGTCAGGGACGGATTGGGGGATACTCACTCACTTATGACACACTCACTTATGACACACTCACTTATGACACACTCACTCACGACACACTCACTCACGACACACTCACGACACACACACACTCACGACACACTCACTCACGGCACAGTCACTCACGGCACACTCGCTCACGAAACACTCACTCACGACACATTCACTTACGAAACCCATTATAGGGTTCCATCAGAGGCGTAGCGTGGTGGGGTCAGGGGGGCAGATGTCCCCGGGCGCCAGCTAGTTAGGGGCGCCAAAATGTGCTTTGATATTATTTTATTGATGAAAATAATGGGTTTGAGAGTTGAAAAAAAGAAAAAGGGGCGCTAAAAATGGATCTTGTCCCCGGGTGCCAAACACCCTCGCTACGCCACTGGGCATATGGTTGAAGGTTGACACTATATAAAAACAACAACAAAGTAATCAAGACGGGTTGGGCCTGTGATGCATCACTAGCTTGAACTATCATTTCAAGAATTCACAAAAAGACAGACTCATTACAGAAAACTTTATTTGAAAAATGGAGTCTACCCAATTTTAAATGTCAAAATTATAAGCTTTAAAACAGTAATTGGTTTGGGGGGGGGGGGGGTTGGAGATGGGGGTCTCGATAAGAAAAAACAAGTTTGGCCTGATCTTACTTTAATTAATTCAGAATTCTCAAGCCGTTAAATTAAGTAAGCGAAACAAAGTATGGGAAAACCTGAAGGAAAATAAAGAACGCAACTAAACAACGAACGCGTCGGCAAGAAGCCTTCATCAGCGAACAAAATCAGTAAAAACAGAATTAAATACAAATAACAGTTAGCTGAAACGTGGTATCGGAATTACTACATTATCCAAACTTTATTGAAAAGCGTGGACTATATATATATTAATATTTAAACGAGATTTCAATTTCTTTGGGAGCAATTATTTTTTTTAAGTCTTCATCCATAATTAATATATTTCGTGCACATTTCTAAAATTATTTTTCAACATTTCATGCATTATTTGACGTGTTTCAGTTTGTTACCTCACTAGAGATTTCAGTTTTTACGTTTTGAATAGATACTATTCATAGATAGCAGAAAATTAAAAACTACCCGACTTTTAATTTAAAGTTTGACAAGGACTAGGCAATATAGGCCCAGGCTTACGCTGACCTACAGTACCAACAGTGAAGTGACCCTGTCACTGATCTTTTAAAACAAAACTCATGCAAAGATGGAGAGCACTTTAAGTTAATTATTAAAAGAAATTATTAACAAACTTCTAAATCCAGTAATACAAGACTTTTAGATGTGTCTATTTTAATTTAATCTATTGAGCTAATTATAACTTAATAATAGGTATAATTTGTTGAAATATGCAACATTCCTAAAAAATAAAAGAGCGATTTGAAACTAATCCCTTTGCCACCGTATTTCCTTTAGAGCTCTTTTCGTTTATATGTTTATCATATGGACAACCTAGATTGATTCTGCAATTGTTGAACCTTGTGGTAAACACACTGAACAGTGACAACACTATCGTTTTAGTTGTTTACAAATTCAATTCTTAAACTTTTCATTAATAAGGTTAATAATGGAGGAAGAAGAACAGGAAAAGCTCTCAACTGCATTTTTTGGCTACGCAGATATCAATGATTTTTCCCAGGTAGACTATTTTCATACTACACTACTTCTACACTTCAATCAAATTAAGTCTGAGTACTTAGACTTAGATCAAATTTTCAAAATGAATGAATTAAGAAGGGCCGCGGCTATTCGGACCCGAGTATCAGAAGTGAGAGTTTTGGTTTATTAAAAAAATATTAAAAATAAGGGATTACCGCCCTATATTATTGTAAACTTATTCAAAGTTATTCTCCAGTAATCATTTTAACTAAAATAAACTACCACAAAAAACAAATGTAGATACTGCGGTAAAGCACAAAAAACAAATATAGATACTGCGGTAAAGCAAGGGAGACTACTTCAAAATTTGTATCGGAAATGGGGTAAATTCAGAGAGAGCGGCCCGCGTCTTTTTCCATGGCCGCCATCTTGGTTGGGAAATGGGTGTCGGCGTAGTAATATCAGACTTTTTAATGCGAGTGTCAATTCATTAATTAAAAAATGAGTCCTTTTGACATATAATTGTGTTCTGCCTTTTCACTTTGTAAGACATCTTGACCTACATTTCCATCCAGCTATTTTGGTTTTTCAATCAACCTTTATTTTGAAAATCTTTGGTGCAAATAAGGCATCTTCGCATAAAAATTTTTTTGTGAAATAAAAAGAAGGGGTCTTTCATATTAAATCGTGAAAAGCATTAGATATTGAAGTATACGTGTGCCAACTCTCATTGATGTAGGACGTGTCCAACGTTCGTTACACTTGTCCCGTGACCAATATCACCATTAGGTCATTCAGCCTATTTTTGACATGGCGTGGGCCACGCCCCCTTTTTAATGGCGGAAGTTGCTGATACTTAGGAAATATTTAATTATTACCACTATATACATCAAAATATTTGATAACTTGTGTTTCAAAATGCATTTTGAAGACATTTATACTGGAATGTTTTAATTTGAGCTTTAAAAACCCTGTAGAGTCCATATTATAAATGATCAGAATTTTCCGTGTGCAACACATTGTCAGTGGCGACCATTCACAGCCACTTGCTTAATGGCTATATCATAGTACTATCTCAGAGTTTCATTCATAAGAGCAAATTTCAAATAAAAAAATGAAACCAGAATAAACTTTTTAGCTTTAGTGCTTTTTGAACTACGAATTTTTAAAGTGCCAGTCCATTTGGTATTTTCTGCTATGGATGAAACTTCCACACTTTGTGACCTCATTCCGCTGATTGCGTCCTGCGCAATTATAAAGTTGATGTAAGGCAACACATCCCCTTATTGCTAAAATGCTGTTTAGGGACTACTTATTTAGAACTTTCAGCTTTGGCAAATGACTAATTACTTAAAGCTTTCCCTGACGAATGGTTTAATAATTTTTGCACACTGCAAAGTTTTATGAATGAAACTCTGAGACAGTACTAAGATATAGCCATTATGCAAGTGACTGGGAATGGCTGGCCATAATAACATTTTGCAAAAAATACATTGAATAATAATAATACTACAGCTATAAATGATGGTAAACAGTCCTGTGGAGAGTTAGTTTTTTATTTGTGCCACAGGCGCTATGTGTATATTAAGTGTTAATTGGAATAAGAATGACACAAACTGATTTGTAATCGTGGTTTAAGTAGTTACCACCAAACAACACTGTAGTACTGTTAACAAATTATGGTCTCAACAAAACTGTGCTCAGGCTCGAAATTAAGATAGCCTACCAATCTCAGACTTTGGACCAAAGGTCATTTTGAACAGACCAATAGGATTTCAGCTTTCTGTTGAGCAATTTATTGCACTGCCAATTAAGATTTCAGTCGTAATGGTCCGTAATAACAATAATATTATAAGCCATATTTAATTGTAACTAAATGAAAATTCTATAATTACAGACCCAGTCAGGTCATAAGCTTTTATATAGAAAATGCCTTTATTTACTGATAGTTCAAGTGCAAATTTGAGGCAAACAAATTTTTGGGGGCGGATTTTGTTAAAAATCATTTATTAACTAAGTTAGGTCATTAAAAGTTATAAATAGAACAATTAATTATATTACATTATTAGTCAGTAACAAATCAAAATAAGGATTAGTATAAACACAACCAGGTGAAAGGACAAATACATTTTTGCTATCATCTCTTCTGTTGCTCACAGATCAAGTGTAGAATGATGAAAAACTAATTTAAGATATGCGCCGAATTCAATCCCTTCATTTTGAAATTATAAAAAAATACTTATCCCCCACTTAAACCCAGGAAGCCTTCAATATCAGCTTTGTTCAACTCTGAAAGGAATTTTATAATATTCAGACATTTATTTTCAGATAAAAACTTTATCAAGCAGAAGAACTTAGATGATTCAGTTGACAAATATGTATAATAATGTAGTGCTTGCATTTTCATGTCTTATTTTCTTTTCTATCTTATCATTCAATGGACTTTAACCTTAACCCGAGGCATCAAGTTCCTAAAATTGCATGTTTAATTTTAACACATTAAATTCCAGAAATCTCTCCGAGCTGTTCTGAAGGCCACAAAAAGTTCAAATGACTTACCTGTTGGTGACGACTTTGATTTCTACTCAACATTTCGTTCGGTTCGAGATGTTTTGGATATTGAAGGTGGAAGAATCCTCAGCTTGTAAGTGTTATTATTCCTGATATGGCAGTTGATTTAGATAAATTGCTGCAAGCATTAGCAAACCATTCTATATTTGTTTTATATTTCCAAGGGACCTATCACACTTATAGTGACAACTTGTTACGTTATATTTCCAGGTTTATAAGTTGTACTGGCTCATGTAGAAACATTCAAAATGTTGGTAGATGTAAATGGCAGTGAACCATGTTTTCAAAATGTTTTAATTTTGGTGTGCTGCAAAAATCTGGGAAGGGTCTCAGTGGGCCGTGAGCAGAGCACCGAATGAGACTAAGCAGCTCCAAGATGCTTCTCACCCAGGATTTATGTTTTTTTAGATGTCATTATTTCTTATAATTGTCATGATCTACACGAGTATAGATGTCATTTTATTTTGAAACAGAGTTGTGGAAATAAGTGTAGCAAAATATTTTAGACAGATACATTTAAAAAAATGTTTTATTTTCTTTTGTCAGACTTCAGAGACTGTTGAGACATCAAAATGTGAAGGGTAACCTAATTCATGGGGACCTTGTAGAGATGGAAGATAAGTTTGATATACTGATGGATGCCAATGACCAGATATTGGAGAAAGCAGTAAGTGTCCAGTGTTTTTGCCAGGAATACGCTACAAAGTTTTTATTAATTTTATTATTAAAACTAACCTTTGATGTGCTATTGCTTCACTACCCAGTTGCTTACAGTTTGGATATAATATAAATTTTCTTTGCAAGGGAACTCTTCTTGATGAGGCTTCAGGACTTGGCAAGGAGGAAAAAACATTGGTTATGGCTACCGCTACGGCGTCCAGGGCTGCATCAAGCTGGAATAAAAAGGTAATTTATTGGTATCATTTATTTGTTTTATTCACCTTCAGTTGTGAATGGATCATAAATATCACACGTTGTCATAAATGTCTCAAGTTGTCATAAATGTCCCAAGTTGTGTTTTCTGCTTTTTTGTCAATTTTTTAAAATTCATTTTATATTGATGAGAAACTTGGCGGATGTTCAGGTCTTCCTTGATCTTTGAACAGAGTTTATCATGTCACAGTTTTAAATGTCCAGGACTTCTTTTAGTCTATTTTTAAACACCCTCATCACATCAAAGACTGCTGATTCTCATAGTGTGTTATAGCATAAAGTTTTAAAGAATGCTCAGTTCAAATGTTTTGGAATATTTGTACTTAGACTTTGAGGAGAAGTGATGAAATACCGGTAAAAAAAAAATACAGATTTATTAAGATTGCCTGCCTTTATTCTAAACAGCGACCTAAAGTACCTCACAAAAAACCCCAAGAAAACATACAATCACTTTTATGATATTTTATTTGTTCCAGTTGTGGCATACCGCTTGAAACATAGAATCACTTTAATATTTTACTTGTTCTAGTCTCAGGATAGCAACAAGCCAGTTGTGGCATACCGCTTGAAACATAGAATCACTTTAATATTTTACTTGTTCTAGTCTCAGGATAGCTACTAGCCAGTTGTGGCATACCGCTTGAAACATAGAATCACTTTAATATTTTACTTGTTCTAGTCTCAGGATAGCAACAAGCCAGTTGTGGCATACCGCTTGAAACATAGAATTACTTTAATATTTTACTTGTTCTAGTCTCAGGATAGCAACAAGCCAGTTGTGGCATACCGCTTGAAACATAGAATCACTCTAATATTTTACTTGTTCTAGTTTCAGGATAGCAACAAGCCAGTTGTGGCATACTGCTTGGAACAGAGAATCACTTTTATGATATTTTCTTGTTCTAGTCTCAGGAAAGCAACAAGCCAGCTGTGGCATACCGCCTGATGACGGCAAGGAACATTCAGAGACCGCAGCTTAGTTTTCAAGATAAGATTGACAACAGCAATTTTCCTTTTAAGCCTCAACTTAGACAGAAGCCAAATGCCTTAAAGTCGCTAGAAGGTAAATAATATTGTCTTTGCATGAGATGAAAGAAGGCATAGAAGGTAAAACATAGTAATATAGTCTTTGCATGAGAATAAAGAAGGCAGATTTTTTAAAAGATAAGATGCTCTGATTGACTTGTATGTATACATATGGCCAAATGGACTTTTATCATAAATGTGGACTCGTATTATAAATAGTGCCACATGGCCTCGTATTATAAATATGGCAATATAGCCACACGGACTCATATGTATAAATATGGCCACATGGACTTGTATGTATAAATATGGACTCATGTATAAATAATGGCCACTTGTAGCAATTTATCATTCAAATGAAACCTTGAATTCTTCAAATTGTGTTTGCAGAAAGCCTGAAACTTCCAGAGGGTGTTAGCCTGGAGGAAACGGAGAACCCAATGTTTGTGTAAGTTTTGATGGAAATTAACTCACATGTGCCTTAAGGATACAAATCCAAGCTGCAGACATGTTGTCATGTAATGCTTGTTGTTACAGAGAGCTTGTTTACACAATATTTCTCGTACGTGCCCTCTGATTGACCCCGCATGAGACGCTGTGTTCACAAAGGGGTGTGGCTTAGGTCTTTGATGTATTTCTTGTTTACACCGCCAGCCACTGAAAATAATTAATCTGTTCCAAATAGTATTTGGTAGAATGATTGGGATTTTTCTCGAAATGTCTCGAAGGCAGGGCTTGGGCGTCGGTAGACCCACCTATATAAGGGATTGACAGGCACGGACGACAGACGGAGATTTCATATAGATTCTCTTAACATTACGAGGCGTGTTTTATTCTTTTGTGTATTTGTGTGCTCCTACTTATATGTGTTTATTTCGCATTATTTATTGGCATCATTATTTCTAATTGTATTAACTGTGTACCGGTACGACATCTGCCATACTGTAAGTTGAAGATTGTAATTTTATTTTATTTTATTTTGTAATTATCTTAAGACATAATAAATCGTAATTAATTGTGACTAGAAACTGTTTTGGGTCGTATCCTTAATATTGTTGATTATATGGTATCGTCCTTTGTTAGGCACTGTTTACAACGAGCCAATTAAAATTAAAATAGGAGATTAATTTCTCCCAATACAAGTCAGTGCGTAACACTTGTTCTGATTTAATCACCGGTACCCTTATCTTTTGTCTGCTTACAAAAGGTGCTGTGAATTGTCTCAGAGAAAGGCAGTTTAGAAGGGAGAAATGTTGAATAATTTTTGTAATGATTTTAAAATTTATTGAGTAATGTCAGACCTCAGTGTTTATGTCTGGTCTATTTTTAGCTATCCACATCCGTACATGTTTGAACTGGATGCATTCAAGCCAAAAGAAACAGTTTTTCAACAGGTTGTTCCAAAGGTATGACAGTCGTATTTTTTAAATAATTTTTTGGACACCAGAAAGTAAGATAATGAAATCCTTCTGTGATTTCTATTTTATGAACTATTTTCCAAGCAAGAGTTTATGTTTGGATTAGTGTGTCTTTCTTGAAGTGGTCTAATTCAATTCGTAAGGACTTATAGTTTGTTTAAAATGATCACAGTGGAGATCATCGAATCCCTGCATTGCTTCTATTTTACTAACTAACTGTTTATGTTTAAAACCTTTTATTTTTTACCAGTTATATATTTTGAAAACTTAGAGTTTATAATTGCATTTGCATCTTTCTTAACATGGCTTAATTGTTCGTTAAGTACAAATTTTTTGTTTGAATTCAACTTCAGGAGCCTCAATCCTTGGACTCAACACCATTGACAATGGTGGAGACTAAAGATCGGTTCCTGGAAATGCTTCAACACTTAAGAGCTCAAACAGAGATAGCAGTCGATTTAGAGCATCATTCTTATCGCACCTTTCAGGTAATTTCATTCTTTGATTCCTGCAAGAGGGAAGAGAAATGGGTACTGCAGGTTGAAGGTCAATCAGTTTGTTTTTGTAAGTTTCAAAAGTAACATACTTGACACCATAAAATAAGAAAATTTTAAAAAAAATGTTATTTACAAGCAAGTAAAGATTCTGAGAAAACAGTTTAATTCTAATTTCAAAATGTAGTACAATTATTCTTTCATGAGTCTTTATAATCAAAAATAGTGGTGGGAATGGACATTATTATTTTCCTGCCTGAAAACTTGTTAATTTCTTGATAAATTCTTTGAAAGACAGGGTTCATAATTGTTTTTTTTTTTATAGCTACTGGATCATATTTAAATAATCTTGCACATTACATTTGTTTGAGGAAAAAAAATTTTTTTTACAATTTAAAAAAAAAAAAATAAATTAATGCTTTTATTTTAAAGAAATTTTTTTTTTTTTTATAGCTACTGGATTATATTTAAATAATCTTTCACATTAAATTTTTTTTAGGAAAAAAAATTTTTTTTAAAATTTAAAAAAAAAAAAAAATCACTTAATGCTTTTATCTTAAAGAATTATAGATGATTGTTTGGGAAATATTTTCTGGAAAAAGGCGACAAGAAAGTGAGATAAACATTATCATCTCATTAAAAAAACATTTACTGATGTTGCTTTTTACTGCATGGTCTCTTCCAGGGATTTACCTGTTTGATGCAAATCTCCACAAGGTCCCGAGACTACATCATTGACACGTTGGCACTGAGAAGTCACATTCATTTGATCAATGAGATCTTTACAGACCCCAACATTACGAAGGTTTTTTAAATTTTTGTCATTGTGTGTTTTATTGTTGTTATAGTTGTATATTTTATAGTTTTCCCTGTGCTTCAGTGAGTTAGGCATTTTTTTTTTCTAACCACCAAGTATATGTATTTTACTTTTTCCCATGTAACTTGAAAATGTTAATTAATTTAAGTAGATGCAGATTTTAAAAGCTAATTTTGTAAACCTTATTATGAATTCAGTCGGATATAATTTTGTTCATTAATAAGATAATTCAGATATTAGTTAGTATTTATCAAATGAAAATGAGTATATTTAGTTAAATAAGGAAATATTAAGATTTGTTTTAAGGAGTATTCAATATATAGTTAAAAACATCTGATTGCCTGCTTGTAAAAGTTTTTAAATATTCAATTTCATTTGTATAAATATTTTGCCTTCACTGTCACATGAATATTTTTTTTAATTTGGCTCAAATTGTAAATAATTTTTTTTTTTTTAAAAATGGTATTTTTATGAATTTGATTGATCAAGAATCTGAACTCTTTGTTCTTCAGGTGTGAATTTGATTGATCAAGAATCTGAACTCTTTGTTCTTCAGGTGTTTCATGGAGCAGATTCTGACATTGGATGGCTGCAGAGAGACTTTGGTGTGTACGTTGTCAACATGTTTGATACGGGGCAGGCAGCTCGTGTGCTGGGCTTTTCAAGGTTTTCTTTGGCTCATCTCCTCATGAGCTACTGCCGCGTTGAAGCGGACAAACAATTCCAGCTGGCCGACTGGAGAATCAGGTAAGTGACATAAGGTGGGGAATGTTGAAAGTTGTTATAATAACTCCAGGATACCTATGTCCTTCTTTAACTGATTCCTGAACTTTTGACTTGTACAGACCAGGACTCCCACCGGACAAATTAATACCATAAGAAATAACAGTTAAGGAAATAATGTGTTTTAAAAATAAATCAATACTTTTCTCTGACATATGTTACTTTGATGGACTGGCAACAAAGTCTTAGTTGGCACTGGCGGGCTTCAAACACTCACAGCCAATGCCAGTCCTCTTCTCTACATCATCAAACCACACATGGCTGGCTTACAATGCTCACTGCCTATGCCAGTCCTCTTCTTAATATCATCAAACCACACATGGCTGGCTTACAACAATTCACTATCTTTACTTATTCTGCCATATTTTCTAAAAGATAGTCTTGCAACACTTTTGCCTTCTGGGCAATCATAGGTCCTGAAATACTTGTGTCCAAATCAACAGCAGTTTTTCAATCTCCTTCAAAATGTCCCTGATCATGATGTAGATTTCAAAACACACACACCACCAACCCCACCCTCCCCCCCCCCCGACCCTGCAATGTTAGCTGATTTAATCATGTCTTTATTTTCACAATTGTAGAAATTGTTGTTGGCGGCATGCCGTGAGCCGCTGCTAAGTTATGGATCTTTGCACCCGTGTAGGGTAGGGGAGCTGATCCCTATAGAAAGATGTTGAAATAATATGGCAGCTGTACAATTATTAAAGACTAGTCTACTGACAATTATTAAAGACTAGTCTACTAACAATTATTATTTTCATTTTTCTCTCCAGACCTCTGCCATCAGAACTGATCAACTATGCAAGGGAGGACACCCACTACTTGTTGTACATTTTTGACATGATGAAGAACCAGCTGATTGACCGTGGCAATGTACAGAACAATCTCCTGATGTCAGTCTTTGAAAGAAGCCGAACAGTAGCAGCAAAGGTTGGTGCATTTTATTACTTAACGAATATGAAGCAAAACTTTAACAGCAAAGGTTGGTGCATATAAGACTTGACAAATCTTCATTTTCCTCAATGGACCGACTGAGTTCAGGCTGAGATGATACTGCAGCAGAGTGTCTACTTGTGTCGATAAAGAGCATGGTATCATTCAAAACAAAAACCAACTTTTATCATCCGATAAGCCCCTCCGTGCATCCCACTTTGGATAAGCCCCTCCATGCATCCCACTTTGGATAAGCCCCTCCATGCATCCCACTTTGGATAAGCCCCTCCGTGCATCCCACTTTGGAGAAGCCTCTCCATGCATCCCACTTTGGATAAGCCCCTCCGTGCATCCCACTTTGGATAAGCCCCTCCGTGCATCCCACATTGGAGAAGCCCCTCCGGGCATCCCACTCACTGATTCGCTCTGACCGCTGAGTCATGGCTTTGTTTTCTTTGTTAATTTGTTAAATGTATGCACACCGGTAATGACATGGAACCATCACATGCTTTCTATCCAGACATTGTAAGCTCTCCTCCTAGAGACATAGACATTGTAACCAACGCTGAGATTCTTACACAAAATTGAAGTGTGCTCCTGAGGTTTAAAATATTCTTTGATTATATTATTTTTTGTAATGTTTCAAATTTTCATTGCTAAGAACCACTAGCAAGTCTTTAGTGATGTTGCTAGTTTATAAAGGAAATAAATAAAGTGTCTTAAAAATTTAAAGTGTGCTTTTATTTAGTTGAGATAGCTGGAGTGGAATATATTTTTGTTTTAAAAATTAACTAAATAATTATGTCAAAGTTTTTTTTACACATTTTTTTCATTTTATTTAAAAAAAGATTGACTCTTATCTTTTTATTTGATTATTTTTGTATGAATTAGGTTTACCAGAAGCCAGTGTTCACTCAACAAGATTACATGGAACTGTACAAGAAAAGCAGAAAATCATTCAACAACCAGCAGTTGGCTGCTTTACAAGAAATCTATGAGTGGAGAGATTCTATGGCACGTCTAGAGGATGAAAGCATAGGGTATGTAGTCATTCTATGTTTAGCACTTCTAGAAGGTAAAAGCATGGGGTATGTATAGAATGTCTAGAGGAGATAATCTTGATGAAGAATTCTAAAACCATATGTTATAGAGAGCTTGTTTACATAATATTTCTCGTGCGTGCCCTCTGATTGACCCCGCATGAGACGCTGTGTTCACAAAGGGGTGTGGCTTAGGCCTTTGATGTATTCTTGTTTACACCGCCAACTACTAAAAATAATTAATCTGTTCCAAGTAGTGTTTTGTAGAATGAATCTGATGGTTCTAGAAATGCCATGTAGCTTGTCGAAGGCAGGGCTTAGGCGTCGGTAGACCCACCTATATAAGGGATTGACAGGCACGGACGAAAGACGGAGATTCAGATAGATTTTCTTAACATTACGAGGCATGTTTTATTCTTTGTGTATTTGTGAGCTTGTATGTGTTTATTTCGCATTATTTATTGGCACATTATTCTAACTGTGTTAACTGTGTACCGGTACAAGATCTACCATACTGTAAGTTGAAGATTGTAATTATATTTTTCTTTTCTTTTGTAATTATCTTAAGACATAATAAATCTTATTAATTGTAACTAGAAACTGTTTTGGGTCGTTTCTTTAATATTGTTGATTCTATGGTATCGTCCTTTGCTAGGCACTGTTTACAACGAGCCAATTAAAATTAAAATAGGAGATTAACTTCTCCCAATATAAGTCAGTGCGTAACACATATATAATCCTCAAGTTTATTACCAGCATTCATGTAGCACCTGATTTATTAAAACAATACTTGTAGTGTGGACTGTATCGCTTGCATTCTTGTTGAAAATAAAATAATTTTCCCTCTATCTTTTATATTTCTAAACTAAGTTCTCATTTTATTCTCTTTTGTTTATTGGCTGATGAAAGCTGTCATCCGAAATGTCATGTTTATAATGCGTTTTGTCATTCAGGCTTTCACATACCATGTCCTTACTATTTAATCTCAGTAGGGCGGGGATGTTTCCAGAAGTTTCGTGTAAAAAGTTAAGTCTTGTCTTTGTCCCTCAGTTACGTACTCCCAAATCACATGATGCTTCAAATAGCTGAGATATTACCTCGTGAACGACAGGGTGTGCTGGCATGCTGTAATCCAATACCCCCACTTGTGAGGCAAAGTCTTATAGAGTTGCACCATATGGTCTTACAGGCTAGAGATCTTACACCATCCAAGGTAAACATTTAAGTCTTATAGAGTTGCACCATATGGTCTTACAGGCTAGAGATCTTACACCATCCAAGGTAAACATTTAAGTCTTATAGAGTTGCACCATATGGTCTTACAGGATAGAGATCTTACACCATCCAAGGTAAACATTTAAACAACCTTTGTCCTTTTAAAAAGAGACAAACATTCCAATGGTTCTATATACCTGGTAGTTAAAAGTGTGCAGTAAGAAAGAAAAAAACCTGGCCAGGCATAAAAGTAATTGTATGATGCTCACGTAACCCTATTTCTAGCAACAACAATGGATATTTCTTGAGTTGTTCACTGTGCTCTGTTCCTGTGATATTTTCCTTTGCTCCAAGGAAGGCTCTATGCTGAAACATTCTAATCTCATTGTCCTGTCCTTAAATGCCAGCTTCCACAAACCTTGTTTAGCTATTTCATTTACCTAGCTTGAATGCAGTCCTTTAATTATTATATCACATATAGAAGACTGTTGTCATAAGCCTTTTGATTCCATTTCTCAACCTAAAGCCAGCTATCAAAATGCCCAATGCTATTAGATTCTGTACCATGATATACATAGCATACCATACAAGCTTAGCTGACAGTTCCCGAACTGTAATTTTGTGAGATTGATGAAACTATTTAACCAGCTGCAGGTTACTACATCTATCTTGTTGGTAATCAAAGTTGTAATTTATTTCAGACAGAAAAACCTTCAAATGTCCAACAACAGCAAACAAACCTGACTCTGTTTGGTCCTGAAACTTCACTCACATGTCCACATGACATGTCACATATAGAGTCTTGGAAGACCAATATAGAGCAACAAATTTCAGGTGAGGTGCACTTGGTCAGCAAGTTGCATAACCTTTGTCAAACCTTTCTTTTCTAAAAAAAATAAATAATTAAACCACGATACCGGGTCCTGTACTTATTTTCATCATCTCTTATTGCACTTTTTTTTTTCCAATCTACAATTTATAGAACTTCTACATACAATGAAAAGAAATAGTTTCAAGACGATTCTGACAATGAAATAACATTGTTATTTTTAAAAGTCTCCCTTTTTAAAATCCCATATCAATGATTATTTTGAAAAACTTAGAAGAACATGTAAATCCCTTAGCCAGGTCCTTGGAAAGTTTGTACAAAAGCTGTTTTGAATTTTGCAGAGACGGGATTAGTCGCCCACACAGCCAGTATGTTTAATCTTTCATCTGTGATCACCAAGACGCTACCAGTCATCTCAGCCTTTACTGCGAAGCCAATGAAGGTTCATGTAGTTTAAGATGTATAAACTAGCCAGCATTGTTAGTGGACAAGAGTATTAACATTTGTCAAGACGTAGCTAGTTCTAAGGAATGTCTTTACAATTTCACCTGTCCTTTTACCTATTTAAAAATGTTCTAATATTATTTATATTAAAGTTAACTCAATTTAGAAAGATATCATTTGAGAATTCATGAAATAGATTTTTTTTCAAAAGTAGTTATTTTCAATGTCATCTTTAGTATAGAAAATAAAGGAAATACAAATCTGATTTGTTTTGAATTAGAGTATTATAACAGAAAAAAATATTATTTGGCATTAATTAGATATTTGTAATTGTTTTTCCATAACTAATTGGAAAAAAAATTGCATAAATACAATTTTTTGAGATGTTTCTATCTTTTAAATAAAAATTCTTCCAGTCCAAAACATCTACTGAAAAGTTGGTGGCAACCTTGAAATCAAGCTTCCTGAATCCATTTGTTAGGGTACGATATTATCAATGTCAGCTGATTGAATATTGTCTGCTATCATTTTTTTTCTTTGTCTCTTTGCTTTACTTCAAATTCTTTAAAAATCATATTAATATTTCTTACTCTTGCTTCATCTAATGGTATGAAGATGTCTAAAATCTGAGATTAATTTTTTTTTAAAGTTTTTTTAATTTGTCTGGTATATAAAAAAAAAATATCTAGTAGAGATATGAGGAAATTTCTTTAAAATCATGGAAAATAATCAAAGATCATTTGTTGATAAAGCCAAACATCATGGAACATAATATGTGAAAACATCATTCAGTGATTAAGTTAAAACAATGTAAATGATTATAACTGATTTCTAATTCAAAATGAAGTTAAGAGATCGAGTTGTTATTTAAAGCAGTTTTAGGGACTGAACTTAACCAGATTTGATCAACATTTATTGTTGCTTGTAAATTGAATTAATTTTATTAATTGAATGCTTGACAAATGATTGCTTGCAGTATTTACCAAAAGATTCAGAAGGGATCATCAGAGCTAGGGTAAGTATGTCTGCTGTAATCTTTACTAATATCTATTTACAAATATATCATATGTGATTTATAGGGGATGAATAATGGATTTACTGGATAGAAAGAAAAGAATTTAGGGGATGAATAATGGATTTACTGCATAGAAAGAAAAGAATTTAGGGGATGAATAATGGATTTACTGGATAGAAAGAAAAGAATTTAGGGGATGAATAATGGATTTACTGGATAGAAAGAAAAGAATTTAGGGGATGAATAATGGATTTACTGCATAGAAAGAAAAGAATTTAGGGGATGAATAATGGATTTACTGGATAGAAAGAAAAGAATTTAGGGGATGAATAATGGATTTACTGGATAGAAAGAAAAGAATTTAGGGGATGAATAATGGATTTACTGGATAGAAAGAAAAGAATTTAGGGGATGAATAATGGATTATTATTTTTTTAAAACCAACCTCAAATTTGCTAAAATTTTTGGAGCCACTAAAAATATTGCCAAAATTCTCTTCAGACTGATGACCTTTGGAGACTGAAAGCCAGCACAGTACCACCACAGAACCTGAAGAGGAAAACTGACATCAAACAGGAAGAGGACTTGGACAGTTTTCAGCCAGTGTTTGGTCAGAAGATTTCTTTATTAGTTTTACCACTATTTGCTTCAAGTCCAATCACTGTGGTAAAGCTCTGAGATGTTGTAGCTCTATAGTTGATTTACATAGAGATGAACTGTGATAAAGCTTAAGCCGATTAACAGACAGAAAATATCTGAGTTTACTCATTTACATACATCTTTGCCTAACATTGTGAGAAATATCTTTCCTTGCTGTAGACTTATTAAAATGACTTTATTTTCTTGCTGTAGACCTATTAGAATAGATTTATTTCCATGCTGCTAAAGCATCTTAAACTAAAGCAGAATGTGAATGCATCTTGAACTAAAGCAAAATGTGAATTGAGGGTTATTTTGCCACTTGTGGATGGGCTGTGTTGGTAAAAAAAATATATTTATTAAAGCTTCACCATTGTTATATACACAGATAGTTTGTGTCTTGAAGTCTCATTTTAGCATTATTTAGTCTTTCTATAACTTATCATTATTCAGTAAATCTATAATGTGATTGTTGACCAACAAAACCAACTTGGATTTGCTTTAAATTTTTAGATATTGTTTAAGCACAACTTTGCTTTTTTTTTTTTTTAGTGCTCCCTCAAAAGAAACCCAAGATAAAAATCCACACAAAAGACTCTGAGGTGCCTACCAAGACCTCCAGCAGCATCTTTAGCATCCCTGAGAAAGAAGTCTCACAAACTGGCACCAGTGGGAAAAGACCACTCAAAAAGTTGGAACAGCAGGTGGAAAAAAAGATCAAGTCGTTGAGGCAGGAGGTAAATAAATAATCTATAAATACCAGTCATTTTTTTCCTGCACAGGCAGATGTCAGGTACAGATATGGAGATAAATGATATTGTTTTTTTTTTATTTATCTGTTCTGCTTATCTAAGGAAAAACTGGAATCCTTTTAAATGCAAGTAGACATTATCTTATTTTGGTGTGTGCTGCAGGGGTTGTGCTCTTCTGGTTAAGTCAAAGCAAAGGGAGACAAATTTTGAGTGCTTGTGATGAAACAGGTTCAACATTGAATGTTTAAAAGTTTCCTTAAGATATTTGCATATTTTATGCCATATTAAAATTATGATTTCTTCTCACATGATCAATATGGTATAATAACATCATGTTTGCCAATAAGCTTTCTTGCTTGTAAGACTATTATTTAAAAGTGGCACCTAACCAGGTGCAGTTTTTTACATCAGGTTCGGGTACCTTGAGAAAATACCCGGTGGGTCCAAGTTTTACAAAATAAAGAGTTAACTGGATGGATCAGTCTTCAACCTTAAAGAGACTTGAAGCTAAAACCAAGGTCAAACATAACACCATCAACAAGCTTCTGTTTGCGGACGATTGTGCCCTCAATGCTACCTCAGAAGCCGCCATGCAACACAGCGTTGATGTCTTCTCTGAGGCCTGCAATAACTTTGGCCTCACAATCAACACAAAGAAGACTGAGGTGATGTATCAGCCAGCTCTCAGTAAGCCCTATGTTGAACCCAACATCATCATCAGTGGACAGCGTCTTAATGCGGTGGATAAATTTACTTTCTTGGGCAGCATCCTCTCCAGCTCTGTCGTCATGGATGATGAAATAAAAGCCGGACTCGCAAAAGCTGGTGCCATATTTTGCAGGCTCCGCAGCACTGTTTGGGACAGGAGAGGTATCAGACGAGAAACGAAAATCAAGGTCTATAGCGCAGCATCCTCTCGACATTTCTCTATGGATGTGAAACATGGACAGTCTACCTGCGTCACGCTAAGAAACTGAACCATTTTTACACAACTTGCCTGAGGAAACTCCTCGGCATCAGGTGGCAAGTCAAAGTTCCCGACACAGAGGTCCTCGCTAGAGCGAACCTACCTAGTATCTTGATGCAGTCTCAACTCCTTTTGACATGCTGTTGAGAGTCAGTCATTGGCAGACGTCATGCAGCTATACAAGCATATCTATCTCTCTCTTATCGATTCCGCTGTCCAGACTTTGCGGGAGTGGATTGGTGATGTCAATTCATGGATGACACTCAGCAAGTTGAAGCTTAGTGATGAAAAAACAGAAGCACTCCTCATTCACAATCACAAATCATCCTCTACCTTAACTCTCCCCACATCATTTCAAGTAGGTAACTCCGACATACAGTTTACACCCTCTGCTAGCAATCTTGGCTATATTCTTTCTAACAACATGTCTCTCTATTAACATATCTCTCACATTTGTCATTCTGCATACACCGCTATCCATCAGATCAGTTCTATTCGCCACTATCTCACAGTTAGCACAACAAAATACCTAGTCAGTGCTCTTGTACTCTCTCGTCTTGACTATTGCAACTCTCTTCTGTCAGGTTCACCAAAACACTTCATAGAAAAACTACAAAAGGTTCAAAATTCAGCTGCTATGCTCGTTCTCAATGCAAAAAAACGTGATCACATCACTCCACTCACTTCATATACATGCATGCATTGTCTGTTCTCTGTCACAACTTTTTCTTGAATTTCTGCCCTTCCTATCTAACCAAAATTCTTTCTGTCAATTCACTCCTTCAACAGCTTCGCTCCTCCGCAGACACGTATATTCTGTCTGTTCCCAAGACACGCACTAAAACATTTGGTGACCCATCTTTCTCTTTCTGCACCCCCAAACAATGGAATTCTGCCACTACACATCCGCAATATACCAACCACTCAGGCCTTCAAAACTGCACTCAAAACACATCTCTATAAACTCTACTACCCTGACTGATTCCCCCCCTCTGACTGATAAACCATGCTGCTGGCTTGACATGTAAAAGTTCTGGGGTGGGGGGGGGGGGGGTTTGATTATACTTTTGTTTTTTTTTTGTTGGTGTACAGCTGTTCTTCATTAAATAAATGTATTTATTTTAAAGTCACGATTATGTCTCTTTTGCTAATATTTTTTTATGTACAGCGTGGTGAGCCTAGGCTGGGGTACCGCGCTATATAAGACCATTTACAAATTATGAAGGAAGAAAAAATTCTCATGTCATTAATGGTAATTTTAATGATTTGACTAGGTTTTTGATGCATGTGGAAAATAACCCACACCTTTGACTTGGAACTTGACCTCTCTGTCTCTCTAACTTTCAATCATTATTTTGGTATTAATTTGCTTATCTCACTTTGCTTACCAATGAAATACCATTGTACTCTTCATTTGTTTTTCAGGTAACATTTAAAAAGAACAAAGAGAAAAAGAAAAAAGCTGTTAAAGAAAAGAAAGAGAAAATATTGGCAGAGAATGCGGCTCCAGAGACTGATGTGGTGAATGCAAACACTTCAGAGAAAACAAAAAACGTTGCAGAGAATGGAAATAAAAACATCAGCGGATCAACAGCCTTGAAGAAGAAGAAGGGTAAAAAACCCACCATTTCAGATGTGGCTCAGTCCTTTGAGGCATTTGACTACGCAACAGCTGAGGCATCCTTGCGTAAAGGCACGTAAACAACCCATTAGATGTCTGTCTAATTCTAGATGTGTTAAACCACTCCTATCACAGTGATGTTGATGTTTAGAGATAACTCTCAATCTGACTTTAAAGTTTGTACAGTACCGTACATGATTAGTTGATTTGGTTATGCTGATGGCAGGGAACTTGTCAAAATATACTGATATTCATCCTATATTTAATAATTGAAGGTTAATCCATTTGTAATTCATAGAATACATTTTATGTTTTAATTATTATTTAATTTCATTCATTTTTTTTTTACTCAAAGAAATGTAAATCAACAAATTTCATTTTTTAAAATATTTTATTTCATTTTTTTAAAAAGCATTACATTATTACATATCCAGATTTGTGACAGAGGCTAAATTACATCTACATTAGAGAAATTTTATTCGATTTATTATTTAAATAATGGTGGGATGCCGATTTGGGCAGTGATAGAAATGTTGTCATTTTTTTTACAACCTTAATTAATTCTGAAAGATATTTTTCAGGGATAGTATTTAAAAATTCTCCTAACCTTAAGATTGCTCATTGCTAATCATTCCAAGGCCTGAAAGAGTTTGTTTCCTTGACGATTTCTTTGTTACTAAATCAACAATTTGTGAATGTGGTAGTAGTATAGTCATCGATCCTTCACATTCGTCATCTTTACTTGATCACAATAAAATGGAGTGCTATATGCCCATTCGGAAGAGTCGGATGTTATATATTAATAACAAACTTACCATGTACCGGTACTTAAACTTTAAAGAAGACTGGCATCATGTAACCTATCCCTTGTATTTATCTATTTTTTTGCAGACAATAAACAGAAGAAAAAATCTGATGTTTACAATCCATCTCTTCCATCACGTTCAGGCAAAAGCAAAGATCAGGTAACATTTTTAATGGCAGAATAAGATCCAATAATTAAACTGCAAAATTTTGTTGAAAAGCACAAAGATGGCAATGCTTTTCTCAGATTTCAATACTGCTTGGACATAATTCTGCCCTCTCTTAGATAAAATTGTGTACTGGGTATCCTGAAAAAATAACAAATCCAAATCTTTCTGAGAAAATAGAAATGATAGAATGTGAACAGGGATAGAAAAAAAATATTAAAACTTATAACAGAAGTAGCAAATCGTTAATACTTTCAAAATGGTTTCTTTTATAATTCAAAACAAACATATGTTACAAAATCTCAGAGCTGTTAGAGGAGGATCAGATTTGTATTTTCTAAATTTACAAAGTTTGTTCTAAATTACTATTTGAAATATTTTACTTATATTTTAAAGATTTTCCTATTTAATTTTTAATCCTAATTATATTTACATTGAGAAAAACCAAATGTCCCTGGATTAATTAAAAAATATTTACCGAAAAAGAAATATAAAATTAAATTTTAAAAATTCAAATGCATCTTATTGAATCCTATTAGTTTAAAATCGTGTACCCGGCATTTGGAATTTTCTATTTTATTCTAAGTAATATGAGAAGAATCATTGTACCCAGCTGTACATTTATCATTTACATTAATCATTAAGTTAACAAGTTTTGATTTTATAAGTTGATTTAAATTCTCTCCCCTTATTTGTGTCCACAGGCGAGGAAACCAAAACTTGCATGTGCCAAAAGCAACAAAAGTGTCAGTTTTGGACTAGCAGGAAAGAAGGGCAAGAAAGCATGATGTTAGCTGCCGACACATTACAAAATTTTTAAATAAAAAATGTTCTAATTGAGAATTAATGTTCCACAGTGTAAAATTTCCAAAAAAAAAAGACAAACCTCTCAGATGTGTTCAGTATTGCATGGTTGATGTTTCCAAATGTAGTTTGTTTGAAGTTTTGTCCCACGCTCATTGCTAAATGATCATAAAATACATGTTTTAAAAGATCTTTGTGTCAGGTTTTATTGTTTTCTTGTTATAAAAAATGTATTAGTATTAGAGCAGGTCATGTAAGAGCATGATTTGTTGTAGTGTAAACATTGTCAAATCAATGCTGGCTCCAAGCGACACATGCAAGGTCCTGACTATAATAGGTCATGTACCCAAACTCACTACGTCCCCAACATTATCCAGCCCTAAAGGGACTGAAATCAAAAGTTAATATGAAAAGTCAGAGAAACATGTTCCCCAAGAAATATTTACTAACGGAAATCAAAAGATATTGATTGGGATATAGTTAAAGGAAGAGGTTTCGGTCAAATGATAATTATGCTATTTTGTCTCCAAAATGAACTTTAAAAAAAAATTATTACAGTATTTACAGTATTATATACTAAACAAAATAGTGCAATGTTCCTAAAAAAATATCAAGTCCTAAACTTTTGCTTGTTGATTGTATGAGTTAATGAGCTAGTATTCCTCTACATAAAACACCTCTGAAATCTTGTTACAAAGAAATGTCATTAAAAAAATAATTGATCTCATGACTTGCCCAATAGATGAATATTGAATGACAGAGACACCCTGCCTGTCTAAATGCTGTGCATTGCATTGCCCGACACCTGTGGGTAGGTAACTAACACTTCAGGATATGTCAGGTGCTTATACATTTGGATTTTTTTTTTCACAGGCACTTATTTCACTTAAGGTACAAATGGGAATCAAACCCTCTTAAAAGTTCAGCTGGGTAACAGTTCAAAAGGTTCATTTCAGTACAAACATAAGTTTGCTTCGATATCAACTAAAGCTTGGGTCCAGTTCCACTACCACTGAGCTCCGGCACATTCAGTAATTATCGCGCTGATTAATAGCGTTGAGTCAAAATGGATCCAGACACGCAGCGCCTCCATTCGCACCCGGGTACCATTAGACTCAAGCTCTTCGGATGTCATTTGTGGTAGTTTATTTTAGTTAAACTGAAGAATTAAGTTTACAAACATATAGTCCATTCAATTATCTTTCATTTGGTACCTCATTTTGTCTTCTTCTTCGTCTATATCTTAAGGGCCCAGGATCAATTTATTGATCATTTTGGCTCCTATGCATGTAGATGGGATTTGCAATGTTTCTGTTACTGGTGTTGATGAGGAAATCATGCACTAGGGGTTTGAAACCCTTACAAACCCAACAATGAAATTTTAAATAGTTTTTTAATCCCAACCTCTCACTTCTGGTACCCGGGTACGAATCGTCGCAGCCAATTATCATTCTTGTAATTACGGATGGAGCCGTATCCTAACAGTTGAACGGAGTCGTTTCCTAGCAATTGGACGTAGCCGTATCCTATTGTCAATTGTTTTTAGGAGTTGTTATTATTTGTGTTTTAATTTTAAATTTAACAACCCCTAAAAACAAAGTTTTTCGTAAAAATTATCCTTTATAAAATGTAATATCGAACAATGGGGGTTGGGCTAAAAATTTGACAAAACATACATACATGTAACACACTTTATAAGAATCACATTTAGAGCCCCCCCCCCCTCCTGCCAAAGGCTCGCAACCAAACATTTTCTTCACGTCCCTGAAACATAGTAATATTCTTAGGATAATTCTAATGACCCCATCGCTTTTGCACAACAGATTTATTTCACCAACAATTTTAGAAAAAAAAAAGAAAATAGAACGCACCAAACACACTTGCAATATTTGTTAAAAGTAGTCTCATTTAGTGCAGTTATCAGGAATTTAATTTTATTTTCCCCATGAAAAAAAAAAGGTAAAACTGATTTTTGGGAGTTGGGGCTGTAAATTTGATAGACCGTGTTGTCATCGGCCTCGGCAACGAGTGTATGTGCCAAATGTCAGCTCGATAGATTGGCAAGAGTCAATGAGCCGTCCGAAGATTTGACATCCAGCCAACCCCAACTAAAAGCGGAATTAAAATATAAAGAATTTAATAATTATGATGATAATAATAATAATACAACAACATGTTTCTCCTTTGACTCTCCAATCCCCTTCTCAATGTTGATCAATCCCTGCATTGGTCTGCACATAATTTTACACCAGATCTGGATGATGCAATTTTAAATTTGTTGACTGGCATTTAACTGTAACAGCATTTTTCTTTTCTCAAGAATCCATAAAATATTAACTATTTGAAACATTTTTACCAAAACAAATTTTAAAAACTGTATTTGTATTTATGAATATGAATGACCTTGGAATGTCTTGATTGATAAGTTCTTAGGCCTACACTTATTAAAATTGGGAAAAAAAATTTTTTTTAATCTTTCTTATAACGAAAAAAATTGATACTTATTTAAAATAGTGAGGACGAAAATTATTAACTAATGTATTATAATATAGAATGAATAATACAGCCTGAAATTTGTCATTAGTCCTTTTAATTTTTTATTTTACGAAAGTACGGAATCTTTAACATTTCATAGCTCCGACGAAATAATGAAAACAAGAAAGAGGATAAACAAGCACTGAAAATAATAAGCACTAGCAGTGGTAGGATGTCATCAGATCAATTGTAAATATTACAAGAGAAGACGAAACTTGTATGAAGAGTCGCATATATTGGAAGTAGAATCCCTGGATCTATGTGAATGATAAATTACTACTTGCTGACCTTTCAAACTGGTATTAAGTGCCGGAATGTCAATTCCTCTGCAGGGTCATTTTGGGTAAGTAGGCCTACAGTACAGTGGTACACAAACTCAAACCACTACACTACTATTACTACACAGCACTGATCCGAAACTGAATGTAAGTTTAAGAGTTTAGCGAAAGTGCACTCGGTATATCCAGTTGTAAGTTACGGTACCGTAACCAACAATTTTCAGTAATAGATCCCAATAGTCTAGTTTTACTTGTACTCTACTCAGGCTCTACTAGTTAACTAGGCTCTACTTAGCAGTTAGATACTTTGGTAAAAAATGTAAACATTTTTTAAAAATAAACCAATGGCACAGTTGAATAGAGCTAATTTTAAACATAATTATAACACCAAAATCATATTTTTAGCTGTTGTAGTTTTAAAGTTATGAATTTTTAAAGTACGACTTGGTTTGTCCTTTTTTAACATAGACTGCATCTCCACATTCTGTGACCTCATTCCACTGATCGCGTCATGCGCAATGACTATATAGTTTATATAAGGCAATGCATTCCCTTTTCACTAAAATACTGTTTAGGGTCGACTTATTTTAAACTTTCAACTTTGGCACATGAATAATTAATAAATGCTTTCCCTGACCAATGGTTTAATAGCTTTTGCACACGGCAAACTCTTATGAATGAAACTCTGAGATAGTACTACAACGTAGCCGTTATGCAAGTGGCTGTGAATGGTTGCCAATGACAACGTGTTGCACAGGGAAAATTCTGATCATTTATATTATGGACTCTGCAGGGTTTTTAAAGCTCAAATTAAAACATTTCCAGTTTAAATGTCTTCAAAATGCATTCTGAAACACAAAATATAAAATATTTTGATGTATATAGTGGTAATAATTAAATATTTCCTAAGTATCGGCAACTTCCGCCATTAAAAAGGGGGCGTGGCCCAAGCCATGTCGAAATTAGGCTGAGCCACCTTATGGTGATATGGGTCACTGTGACAAGTGTAACAAACGTGGGACACGACCTACATCAATGAAACTTGGCACAGATATAGATCAATATCTAATGCTCATACAGATTTAATCAAAAAGGACCTTATCTTATTATTTCACAAAAAATTTTGTATGCGAAGATGCCTTATATATACCAAAGATTTTCAAAATAAAGGTCGATTGAAAAAAGCAAAATAGCTGGCTAGAAATGTAGGCCAAGATGTCTTCCAAATTATAAGGCCGGAAACGGAACTCAAATATATGTGGAAAGAACTAATTTAATAATAAATAGACACACACATCGGAAAATTAAAAACTCGGATTTTTCGGCGCCGACGCCCATTTCCGATACAAAAAAAATAGTAGTCTCCCTTCTTTCATCGAAGTATCTACTCTACTAGTGAACTAGGCTCTCTGCTTTTATGGCTTACTTATACTTATGTGTGTCACTTCTCTAAATACATAAAGCAGTAAAAGAGTAGGCCTAATCATAGTTTTAGTAAATCAGGAGAATAAGAATGGCTCGGCTGATATAGGCCTTGCCTTAAAAATTACCACTTCAGCGACGGCTATTCAAAAGTACTGTTTTTTTTGGGTCTGTAGTGCTATTTCACTGGAAATAAAACCGTGGAGAGAGGGGCACTGAATTTTCAGTGGCAGTGGCCTAGAAAGAGAGAGTGGACGCTGTTGTCTTGATGAAGTGCCAGACCAAAGTACGATCACTTTACAGGAGTGCATAGAGAGATATATTCTACCCGGTTCACATATTGTCTTGGATGAATGGGCAGCTGATGCAAAAATAAATAATATGAAAACATGGTAAATAAATGTAAATCAACAAAACTTCATTGATAAAAATGACGCCTTTCACTGGTATCCACACACAGATTGTAGAAAATATGTGGATGCAAGCAAACTGAAAAGACAGTTTGGCACCAGCTGTGCTCTTATCACTTCTTATTCTCTTCATTGTTCCCTATTCATGAATAATTGCTGCTTCCCAGGGCTCAATTTTTTATTGTGGCAATTCACATGTGCAATAAAATTGACACTTTCTTTTTTCGCCCTTTTGGCAACAACATACTGTTGACACCATGTTACAAACTAAATCTATTAAAATGTCTATCAAATGTCTGACAGTGTGCAGTACCATAATTTAAAAAAACAACAAAAGACACAACTGTTCTTCTCTTTCTCTTCTTTTTTTATGTTCTCTCATATTAAATATCTGAGCGATCGCCAACAATAAAGTTGCTGCATTGAATATTTCCATGCTGCACTAATTTTTTTTTTATTGGCAATAAAATCAAAATGATCCATCTGCATGTAACTCAACTATAATTATCCAAAAGAAAACGGCCAATGGCATCAATATCAATGAGCAATGATCAATGGGGAAAGGAATGAAGCAAATTGTTAAAAGTGTAACATAGGAAACAACAGGATTTAAACAGAAAGGGAAAATAACAGGATGGTATGGCGCAGAAGGAAAGAGGCTCTGCTGATTATGCTGCATATGGAGACAAGAAGAACACAGCAAATATTAAATGAAACAAGAAGGGTGGCTACCAAAGTTTGTAGAAAGAAAAAACTTGAAAAGTAAAACATAGTATAGATGGAAGAGTTGGCAAAAGAAAGAAATGTTAGGGGAATGTAACTTAAGATAAAGTATGTAAAGAGCTGCTTTCAAGCATGATCACACATCTGTGAAATTACAGATGGAGAACTGATCACAGAGAGTAGAAGGGTACTTGAGAGATTGGCACAACACTTAGAAGGGATGCTTAATGGAGGAGCCAATGAGGATTATACTCTACCTCAAGGAGGACCGGACCCATTGGTCAACCAACCAACATTGAATGAACTAAAAGATGTGATCTTTACCTCGAAAAATAACAAAGCCCCAGGAGAAAACCTTGTCACTGCAGAACTGATAAAACTAGGTGGAAATGAACTGCATAGGTAAATACACAACCTCATATCTAGAATCTGGCAGGAAGATTTAATCTGGATTACTCAAATTTTAGAGGAATCTCCTTTCTTAATGTAACTTATATATCCTCACTAAACTAATACCTAGAAAACTAGAAAGGTATAGTGAATAGATCCTAGGGGACTATCAGTGTGGATTCCCTCAGAATAGATTAATCACTAATCATATCTTTACTATCAGATGTCTTCTGGAGAAATGCTATGAACACAACACCATACACCAACTATATGTGCACTACTTATAATAGTGTAGACAAAAAATATCAGTATAATGCACTACAGGAATGTGGAGTCCCTAACAAATTTACATGACTTATACATATGACGATGGCTAATTCCAAAAGTGAATCAAAGGGAGTTCCTGATAAATCAGGGCCTCAGACAAAGAAACTCACTATTATGTATCCTGTACAACAGCAAATCAGACATTGGAGACTCACTATTATGTATCCTGTACAAAAGCACATTAGAAAAAGTAATGAGAGACATACATGTAAGGATAAGTGAAACCACCACAAAATACTTCCAGAGAAGCATTACGGAACCACAACCATCAGTAACTTTATACAGCCAACCATTGCAGTACCTGGCATATGCTGACAACATAGCTCTACTGGGCTGAAACTGCAATGATATCATTTTATATAGCCAACCATTGCAGTACCTGGCATATGCTGACAACATAGCACTCCTGGGCTGAAACTGCAATGATATCATTTTATACAGCCAACCATTGCAATACCTGGCATATGCTGACAACATAGCTCTACTAGGCTGAAACTGCAATGATATCATTTTATATAGCCAACCATTGCAGTACCTGGCATATGCTGACAACATAGCTCTACTGGGCTGAAACTGCAATGATATAATTAAAATATTCAAGGAACTTGTAGATGCCTCACTTAAAGCTGGTCTGGAGCTAGGTGAAGTGAAGGTAAATGTGGTATCATTATGAAACATGCATACTGGTGAGAACATAAGAATAAGCAATCACATCCAGGAGCTGCTATAAAGGAGCACAATGAAATAATGACAACAATGAAAGATAACTGGAGGCAACCGCTCTTATTTCAGCCAACAAAAAAACTCACTAGGACATCAAAGAAGGCCATCTACACCACTATCATAGGACCAGTTGTAATTTATGCAATTTACCAGAAAAGTAGAGAACCTGCTTTTCACAGATAGGAATATATGGGAGGTAGTAATATGGGAATTATTACTTATGTAATATACAGAGTATTGGGACCTAGAGAAAACTAGTCAGTGAGAAGAGAGCAAGGAGGAAATAAAGAAATGGTGACAGTTGATTCACAGTATAGATGTAAGAGTAGCGTGATAACACTTATCAAGTAAAGAAGTTTACAGAGAAGATAGTATTGAAATACATAATCTGATACATTCCGTATTGAAATACATAATCTGATACATTCCAAGTGTTTTTGGATTTAGTAGGTTCGGCATGAGTATTTGCT